TTTCAAAAGTCCGCTTGATTTTTTTAAAGCTACTGATGGAAGAATAATAAATAGTGGACCAAGGACATGAGTCCTGTGCATTTCCACCCAGTTATGAATTCATAACATCAACCTTAGTACATGTCAGCAAACATTGAAAACTACAGTTGTCCCTCCACTTTGTCAGGAATTGCAGATCCCTCATGAAAGAAAACATGTGAATATCTCCAGTGGAGAGGGATTTGTGTGTGTGTGTGTGTGTGTGTGTGTGTGTGTGTGTGTGGAACTTCCCAGACACACCATTTCACTTACCCTGCAGAAGCTGGTTCTTTTTCCTATGTGGCTCGAGTCTCTCTTTCACCTGGGAAAGGAATGAATATACCGAGGGGAACAGAAACACACAATAAACCAGAAGCAAAGGAAGAAGCAACACTGGAGGATTTAGTTTACTCCTCTTTCTGTGTGTTATATGTTCCTGTTCTCCTGGTGCCCATCTTCCTTTGCCTGAATGGAAGAGGAACCAGATCTGAGAGGTAAGTAAAGTGGTGTGGATCAGCAAAGGAAGGGATATACCAACCAGAAGACCCAGAGGTACACATGCCTAAGCTGTGCAATACACATTTCAACATCCTTCTATATGCCGACGATATGATTTTACTATCATATTCGCAAGTTGGGCTACGTAGACTGCTGAGAAGGTTTAATTCCTATTGTCATAACAACGCTCTAACTATTAATAAATCAAAGTCAAAAACAATGGTATTTGGCAAACGAAATAACAGACATAGATGGTTCCTGGAGGGTGAACCAATAGAGCAAGTTTGCACTTTCACATATCTGGGAATTGTTTTTTCCGAGACCGGCTCTTGGCTACCACACCACCAAAAAAGCTCAGTTAGGGCAAGAATACGTGCAAATCAACTACTTAAATTGATAAATCACAACCATCCAGGATCCTTAGACCCACTTCTTAAAGTATATAAAGCAAAAGTAACTCCCATGCTCTTATACGGAGCTGAAGTTTGGGGTCTAAACCAGGTACCATTATTAGAGCAATCACAATCACAGCACCTGCGAAGTTTCCTAGGAGTGGACAGGACGACCCCAGCTGCCGCAGTAAGAGCGGAACTGGGAGTACACACAGTGGATGGCTTATCCAAAATCAGGGCCTACAACTACTGGGCAAAACTGATGGCCATGGAAAATGATAGACTCCCAAAACTGTGCCTGTTAGAGCAGATAGAAAATCAACATCAGACCTCTTGGTTAGTTCTCCTGACAAAATACATTAGGAGCTGTGGACTTCCGACTCGGTATCCGAATCTCTTAGAAGAGTTAGACCCAAAAATAGTTGCTCAACGAGTATTGGATATAGAAGGCCAAAAAGACATCGCTACCCTCAGTAAAGCTGGCTCACTGAAATGGTTAGGCCGCTTTAAACATACCTTCCAAACAGTTCGATATCTAAAAACAGAAATGCCTAAACACCTCAGGAGGGTATTTACCAGAGCTCGTTTTGAACAGCTGGATACAATGGACAAGCACGGAAGGTTTAATCAAGTCCCATACAACGAACGAGTTTGTATTTGTGGAGCACCAGAGGTGGAGGATATCACACATGTTCTGTTCAACTGTGAGCTGTATAAAAAAGAGAGAGACCATTGCCTTGGACCATACATTATTCAAAAAACACACTGGGACCCATATATTAAAACCTCATTTTTGTTGGCCGGACAGAACCCTAAAATAACACACAAAACAGCCCTTTTTCTATTCAAAGCAACACAGCTGAGAATTGCACATTTAGAATCAATTGGGGTAAACTGTGGAGGTGACGCAGACATTTGACCTGAACGAGATCTTGTTAACAGCTTGTTTATTTTAACTCCTTTTATACCGAGGGTTGTATGTTGTATGTATGACTATGTATGACTATGTGTTAATTGTGTTATGTGTTAAATGTTTTGATACGGCCAACAGGCCAATCAATAAAACGTATCTATCTAATAAAAGTCACCAACCAGAAGAAAGGCCACCTGAATGTTCACATGGAAGTTCCAACTTTGGGAAGTGGTGGTACTTCAAACTCACAAATCATCAAAACCGTCAGAGTAAAACCTGTGAAAATGGAGGACCAACTGTATAATTGTTGGATTTCATAACAAAATCAGATGTCAGGGTAAAGTAGCACAGAGGGATATATATCTAGCATTTTAAAAATAGACATAATGCAATGCATTTCAAACTCACAGGGTATCAAATAAGCTTCCAGATTGCCCAAATGATGCTTGCCATTTCTCTATTGAGGATTTGTGATATCAGCTTAGATCTGGAAAATTACATCTGGCTTTCCGAAGTGACAGTTTTATTTTCTTAAGGAAAAATTTGGTAGTAATGATCTTCACTTTAAAAGATTCCTTGAGATTTGCCATGGACCAGCAATCCATGGCTAATAAACTAGCACAAGTTTATGGACCACTGCTTTGAGTAGCGATAATTCCAATACAAATAGGATAATAGTAACATAACAGCTTTATCAGTTCTAATGCTGGACTGTAATCTGGTCCTAATAATAAAAATTGTCAACATATACAACTTAATCTTCTTTTTTCATTTATGTATACATGGACTGCTGTATTTTCTCAAGTGAACATGCTAAAGACTCCAAGCATAAACTAAATCTCAAAGGAGAGATAAGACATCCTTGCCAGGTACCTCTCGATAGATTTAAAAAACCCAGAAAGAATTCTATTTGTCATCACATTTCTCCTAGCAGAAAGATTATAAAAAACTGGGTCAATTTCAAAAACTTACTTGAGAAGCTTTTTATCTAACAATAAAAACCTCTGGGTTGCTGTGAGTTTTCCGGGCTGTATGGTCATGTTCCAGAAGCAGTCTCTCCTGATGTTTCACCCACCTCTATGACAGGCATCCTCAGAGGTTGTGAGGTCTGTTGGAAACTAGGCAAGTGGGGCTTATATATCTGTGGAATATCCAGAGTAGGAGAAAGGACTCATATCTGATGGAGGCAAGTGTGAATGTTGCAATGGGCCACCTTGATTAGCATTGAACAGCCTTGCAGCTTCAAAACCTGGCTGGTTGCTGCCTGGGGGATCCGTTGTAGAGAGGTGTCAGTTGGCCCTGATTGTTTTATGTCTCCAACAGACAAGAGTTCTTTCTCCTACCCTGGACAGTCCAAAGATATATAAACTTCAATTGCCTAGTTTCTAACAGACCTCTGAGGATGCTTGCCATAGATGCAGGTGAAACATCAGGAGAGAATGCTTCTGGAACATGGCCATACAGCCTGGAAAACTTACAGCAACCCAAATCAAGGGAAGAAATAGCACTAACAGTAAAAATAGCAAAAATAATTGGATTCTGCTGATATCAGAAAGGAAGGCCTGCCTGATTATTTTTGTGGGATGCACAGGTGTCCCATTCTGATATCAGAACGGGCATCAGTTATGGACAGGGGTGCAGTTAGAGCACTGTGCCTGGTTTGGAGTGGCAACTGCAACAGCAGCATGGTCCATCCTCTTTCCAATCTGGATACCAAGTTGGATCTTACCTGCTGTCCAGACTGCCCTGAAGCCATACCAGATGTTCCAGCAAGTTCCACAGTATCCTCCGATACTGCTGAATGCAGGACAACGTTGGATTAAAGGCTTAAAAACCATACCGCAATACTCATTGGAAGCCACTGTGTATAGTGGGGGCATGCACCAGTTTCAGTAAGTCCTTATATTATTACATCTGGTAAAATATTTAGGTACTATATAGGTAAAACTTGCCAATTGCAATACAAAGAAAAGTGTTTTTTTCTTTGTTGGAAATAAAAACCACAGAACCAAATGGTACTTTTTGGTCTGCTCACAAGCTCACAGTGCTTATTCTGCAAGCAAGTTATGACTGCATGGTTACTGAGAGCACAATCCTCCTGTTCTGTATAAAATCCCACATTATCTGCTTCAAACTGGGTTATATGGCAGTGTGGACTCAGATAACCCAATTCAAAGCCGATATTGTGGGATTTTCTGCCTTGATATTCTGGGTTATATCACTGTGTGGAAAGGCCCTCAGACACATTGTTTGTCCTGTTGCAGGTTTTAATTTCTCTTTCATTTTTAATCTATATTGAAATGCTGCAAAGTATGGTTACTAACTGAAGTAAGTAGTGATCCCATCAAATTGAATAAGCTCTAACATATGTTAAATTGAAAAAAATTATCTACAGTATGACTCTTGAATCTGAGAGGGAAATGTTCCTCCATATCTTGTGGATCAATGGAACATGGGTACTGGGATGTTACTGGAGGACCTAGAAAATGCCTAGACAGGAATATTTTGTTGGACATTGATAAATGAAACTGCAAATATCGGTCCCAATGATTTGGGGGTCATACTTTATTTTGACCTAAAAATGAATCCCACCAAACACCCTCTGTTCGAACACTGTTATAACAGTGGTCAGTGTGTGAGAGAGAAGGGAAAGAGAAAAACAAAGTTAAGAGAATATGGCCTTATACAAAATAACAGTTACCAGTTTCTTAGGAATAGGAACCTGTTTCCAGCCTATAGATTCCCATTCATAACATTGTGGTTGTTGTTGTTGAGTACTTCCCAGTTGTTTCCAACCTATGGCAATCCTAAGGCAAATCTTTCAAACGGTGTTTGTTCAGAGAGGGGTTGCCCTCCTCTGTGTCCGATAGAATATGACTAGCCCAAAGTCATCTGGTTTTTTCATAAGTGGAGATTTGAACCCTGGTCTCTCCAGCATTGTAGTCCAATGCTCAACCCACTACACCACACGGGCTCCAAAATCAAATACCTTAGACTGCTTGATATTTTTTTAATGTATGGAAGTGGCTGTCCAGAGGAGGCTCATGACTAAGGGGAGGAAGATAGACCTTTCCCCACCAGTGATACTTCCGCTACCCTTAAGCAAGAGGGGAACTGATTCCAGTAATGATTTATTTCATTGTAGTTTGCTAAATATGATGTTTTCTTGATTTTCACAGGGTGAGAGAGGTTTGCCAGGTTTACAAGGCTTGGTTGGGTTTCCTGGCGTACAAGGACCGGAAGGGCCCCCAGGATCCCCGGGACTGAAGGTGAGATTAATTGTGTACCTGAAAAGAAAACCTGAATAACTTCATTTGAAATAACTTGACAGTAAACAATGAACTATTTTTTTCTGCTGTTATTATAGGGCGATACTGGAGAACCAGGACTACCAGGAACAAAAGGGACAAGAGTGAGTTTGCCTCAATTTCATTTGTTTTATAGAGTATCCCTCTGGATATTAAATGTTTGTTAAGATTGTAAAGTATATGTATCATGTGATATAAGTACAAGACCATGTGATCATAAGCTGCCCAAAGCAATACATAATCTAAAAGTCACGACAGTGAGTATCCTCGCAAAACTCAGTTGTGTTAGCTGGACTGGCACTTATCAAAGCATTTGGTACATAAAGTTCTAATCACACATTTAAAGGATTTGGTGTTTATATTTGACTCCAGGACTTTTTTGTTGTCAGGAGCCAGAAGTTAGCATATTGAATTGTGTTTTTGAAAAATGCCCCCTTCCAGAATGGAAGTTTATCCTGATCCACCTTGTCCAGAAAGCCCTCTCACTGTTTAGAGCAGATATTCTCGTAATGGGGAATTGCTGGGAAATTTGCACCCTGCTTTTAATGAAAAGGGCAGCTCATGAACCAGGTTGGGAAATGCCTGGTCCTCCAGTTACTGTTGCCCTGTACCTCCAATCAGCCAATAATGAGAAATGATGGGAATTCCCATCCCTAGTTGACCCTATATTCTTTATTCTTTAACTAAAAGCCAAGTTTATTTTCTGGGAATTTAATATCTGAACCAGTGCCCTTTTTTGGTCATTTTGAATGATTTGCATTATTACAGTTTTCTTATGTAGAAGAATCGCAGAATGTCTTTACTGGACATATTAGTATGCAGGGCCCCCCGGTGGCGCAGTGGGTTTAACCCTTGTGCTGGCAGGAGTGAAGATCGACAAGTCGCAGGTTCGAATCCAGGGAGAGCGTGGGTGATTAGCGCCAGCTCCCTCGATTAGCGCCAGCTCCTCATGCGGGGACATAAGAGAAGCCTCCTACAAGGATGATAACACATCAAAACATCCGGGTGTCCCCTAGGCAACATTCTTGCAGACGGGCAATTCTCTCACACCAGAAGCAACTTGCAGTTTCTCAAGTCGCTCCTGACACACACACAAAAATAAATAGTATGCCGAACACTTGAGTTCTGACTCTTATTCAGGGGTGGCCTACCCAAAAAACAATTTTTGTCTATGTTTTAGATCAGTTCAATTGTTTTTCCTGATTTTGGTTAGGTGGATATTAATACACTTAAGAGGCGAATCCCTGGCAGATATTTGAGGAAATATATTCTAATTTTTTTTTTGTTGGTGCTTGTAACTATTTATAGCAATCTATTCAAAACATCATTTTGTACTTTGTGCCTTCATTGTCTTCCATTATTTTCAGGGTCCACCTGGTCCAGCAGGGTATCCAGGAAATCCTGGCCTTCCTGTAAGTATGACACAAAATCTACAATGGAAAAATGTAGCACTAACATTTTTCCAGGAATCAACCTCATTTTTTTGGTTTCCTACTTTCTTTCCAATCTTAGGGCATCCCTGGAGGAGATGGTCCTGCAGGTCCACCTGGAATCCCAGGATGCAATGGAACCAAGGTGGAATACTTTTAATAAAAACAGTGTGTGAAATGTTTTTTCCCTCAGATATTAATATATAGAAAACAAGAGTAACACTTCTTCATCTTCCATTAGGGTGAAACAGGTCCTCTTGGTCCACCGGGTATACCTGGAATACCTGGAAATCTAGTAAGTTTTTAAATATATATATATTAAATCAACATGAGAATAAAAAAAACATTAAGACTTCCATGCTAGACTTTAAATGCCACAAGATTTTAAAATATATATTCTTTTCCAGGGACCTCCAGGGCCTCCAGGAATAAAGGTAATTTTTCAATTAAAATGTGTTTTTGTTTACAGTAAGATATAGGGTTGCCATAGTGCTCGGTATGGGTCTTATATTGTTTCTAAGTATGCCATCTGGTGCCAACTTGAACCATAATTTGACCTGGACTTCAAGCTTTCCTTTAAAATTGCCAAGTCTCTAGGCTCCTGTAGAAGCTGAGATATCAGGCAAAATATTAAGACAACACCTGTGCTATATATGTACTCTTTATATGTATTCTAATATACATATACACGCACAAGAAAGAAATTTGCCTGGAGAATTTCAGGTCTGAAAGAGTAGGTGGAAAGAATAGGTGGCGTGCAAGAAGTAAGGAGTAGCACACTGAGAGTGTGTGAAACAAAGGAGAGAAGGGAGAGCAAGTAGTGTGTGTAGTAAAGTGCAAGTAGCAGGCTGCCTGGGTGGGAGATGAGGCAAAGGAGGAAGACCAAAGGGGGAGGTGGCATTACAAGAGCAAGGGACAGGCACCCCATGTAGGATAAAAATAAGAGTAAAGTGTTTGGCCAAAAAGGAAGGAAAAGGTAACAGATCATTCCACGATGAAATATTGTTTCATCTAGTGGTATAGGACAAGGACAGAAGTTCTATCCAAAGCTACCACCCTACCCCTGCACCTTCCTGTAGAGGCCCTTTGGTGCAACCGGATGTCTGTTTTGGATTACATAGCATTTGTGCCATTCGTCTTATAATTGTTACAAATATCTAGGCTTTAATATCATGCCCAGTGTTCTCTTCCTCAACAGATAATGTATAAATACAGATAAACATAAGAAAAATGAGCCACAATGGCACAACGTGTTAAATCAGGCATGGGCAAACTTTGGCCTTCCAGGTGTTTTGGACTTCAACTCCCACAATTCCTAACAGCCTACCAGCTGTTAGGAATTCTGGGAGTTGAAGTCCAAAACACCTGGAGGGCCAAAGTTTGCCCATGCCTGAGTTAAACCCTTGTGCCGGCTGGACTGCTGACCTAAAGGTTGGCTTGCTGACCTGATGGTTGCCAGTTCAAATCCGCAAGATGGGGTGAGCTCCCATCTATTAGCAGAAACATGAGAGAAGCCTCCCAGCAGGATGGTAGCACATCTGGGCATACCCTGGGCAACGTCTATGTAGACAGCCAATTCTCTCACACTAGAAGCAACTTGCAGTATGTTCTCAAGTTGCTTCTGACACAATATTTTAAAAAAAGAAAATAAAGAGAATCTCGTAGTTGAAATACATCGGCAATTGCTGTCTTCCATCTATTTTCTTATTGAGTTTTACATTCACATTGTATTTACTCTTATTTCTATCCTACATGATGAACAAGTGGAAACAGATTGCCATAAAGGTTACTTTCAGGCAGGGCTGAGATAACATGAGTTATATTATCAGAATCATCCAAGATAAAATAGTAAAGGGGAAAATTTGAACCAAAACTTCCCTTCAACAGGTGGACAGTATTACAGTCTACTTATATTTCTGTGTAATCTGTTTTCTTCTTTTTTGTCATGCAGGGAGATGCCGGAGAATTTATTGGACTCACTCCCGATGGTATACTAAAAGGTGAAAAAGGATCTTCTGGCCAACCTGGATTCCCAGTAAGTTCAAGAAGGTTTAATGACATCATATTAAACATTGATGAAAAATCTTTCTTACCTAACAGACAATTATTTTGTTTTGCCCTCCCCTTACATATAGGGATTACCTGGATTAATAGGTATTGAGGGCCCTATTGGACCTCCTGGACCTCCTGGAAGATCAGTAAGTATTGTTTTCTTGTTTTTTTAAAAAATTGCTAATTATAATTCAAATATAATTATATCCAAAATGTGTTTGTTTCTAGCTGTCCTGGTTTGGCAAAAGCAATTTGGAATTTACACTAGATTTAGTTGAAACTGAATCTTAAATTGAATTTGGCTTTTTAAATTTCATCTTATTTATGCAGAAAATACATATGGAAATAAAAGGTGTTGGTGGTGAGAAGAGGGCTCCCTTCTCATCACAGAGAACAATTCACTTGAGCCCTCAAGTTACTGTGCTTTTGTAGGAGAATGTTGGGCTTATTCTCTGTTCTTCATTCATTATAACTCACCTGAACATAAACTCGGGGTTTTGGTAAAATAAGAGAGGAATCTGTCATGGATTCCTGATGTCCTATCCTCCCAACCAATATTCCTAGGCTTTTCCCTATATTATTCATTTGTCTATTCAAATCTATCACATCTCAGATAGACTACTGCAATGCTCTCTACATGGGGTTGTCTTTGAAGACTGTTTGGAAGCTTCAAGTAGTCAAATGGGCGGCAGCCAGGATACTCACCGGAGCAGCATACAGAGAGAGGACATCCCTCCTGTTGTATCAGCTCCACTGGCTGTCAGTCTGTTACCAAGCACAATGCAAAGTGCTGGCTTTAGCCTATAAAGCCCTAAATGGTTCTGGCCCAGTTTACCTGTCCAGAGATATATCTCTCTATGAGCCAGCTAGAAGGTTAAGATCTTCTGGAGAGGCCCTGCTCTTGGTCCTGCCTCCTTCACAGGCAGGACCTGCGAAGGAGGACCTGGTTGGTGGGGACGAGAGACGGGGCCTTCTTAATAGAGGCCCCTTGGCTTTGGAACTCCCTCCCTAGTGAAATTAGATCACCCCCCTCCTCCTGATCTTCAGGAAAAGGCTAAAGACATGGATGTGGGAACAAGCATTTGGTTAGTAATCTAACAGTACAATAAGGAAATATGGATCAGTGCAATGACAACCTGGAATGGCCTCAAACTATGATATTGTATTATGTGATTTTAAATAAGTAGTTTTAATGTTTGATATGTTTTTAATGATTGTTTTAATGTATATGTTTATTTTACTATGTATGCCCATATGGCATCGAATTGCTGCCTATATATGTAAGCCGCCTTGAGTACAGGATATAATGTTATCCTTTGTCAACAAAGTGGCAACTTCAAACAAGGGTATAAGTGTATCATATAATAATAATAACAGAAGACTTTCTTTTATAGGGTCTTCCGGGACCACCTGGCCCCCCAGGTCCGAAGGTAAGACTGGATTTAGGTGATACTTCTTGTTTTATTTTATACTTTCCTAGGCACTACCATTTTCAGATAAAAGGGGTGTTTGGGGGGGAGGGAAGTGCTTTTGTATTTGCTTGCAAGCTGTACCTACAGTCTTAAGTTGGTTCTACACTGACCATATAAGGCAATTTGAATACAGTGAACTGCATGATATGCCACTACACTATATGGTTGCATGATATGGTTGGTGTAGAATCAGCATTAGAAGGAGGGAGGCGGAGGTGTGTGTGAGCAAGAGAGGTGTTTATTCTGCATGTGATATCTTGGCCTAGCCCAGTGGTTCTCAACCTGGCGTCCCCAGATGTTTTTGGCCTACAACTCCCAGAAATCCTAACAGCTGGTAAACTAGCTGGGATTTCTGGGAGTTGTAGGCCAAAAACAACTGGGGACCCCAGGTTGAGAACCACTGGTTCCCTCCTCTGTTTCATTTCCTTGTTTTGTTCCCCCTTTGGTGTGGACTTTTCCATTTGTGCTCAGTTTTAGGGATGGAGCTTAAAACCTCCTGGAGACCTGGCTCAGTTGGTTTAGCCCTTTTGCCTCAGAACTTGTCTGAAAGGCTTTTCCCTCCTCTTTGTTTTGTGTCAGAGTTTTAGAGGAGAAGGCCAGAAATTGTCTGGGTTCTTTGGCCTGGCAATCCAAACAGGCATTCTATAGCTTGTATGTACCATATAGTCACTATAGTTTGTACATACCATCATCATAGCTAGTACTATACCATCAGCATAGCTAGTACTGACCATCATAGCCTAGTATATACCACATTGCCAATATAGCTTGTACCTTTACCATATAGTTATTATAGTTCTGTATTATATCAATAACCAAATACCTTACTGTAGCCAATATAGCCAAGTATTTACCAATAATTTAGCCCAGTATTTTACTTTCAATAGCCAAGTATTTTACCAAGTGACTTACCACAATTATAGTCAAGTATTTTACCTCATATTTTACGAATATAGTCAAGGGTTTATTACCAGTGTAACTAAGTTCAATCAACAAACGTCGTCTTTGTAATATTTTATTTTGATTCACCTTTGACTGAAGTTAACTTTGCTTTTTGTTTCCAGTAAACTTATTTGGTTAACTTTAATCCTGTCTCAAGAGTCTTTATTTTAAAGAAATGAAGTACATCTAAGGGTATACTGATAGCCACCGGGGAATAGCCAGACATATAGTTTTCCTTTACCCCGGCATGCCATCACACTGCACCATCAAACATTGGCTTTAAAACAGCAATGATTTGCAGAAATAGTATCTACCAGATCTGTAACTTTTGTGGCAACTTAATGTTATTTTCAGAAAGGTAACAATGTTAGTCTTTTGCAACAAAAAGAGCTTTGTCGTGTAGTATTTCATATTGATGTGGTTTCTTGCCAGAGACACATGTTGTACTGTGTCTTTGTCTGCTGGTGGTTGCACGTGCAGCAGGTAATTTTGGTTATTTACGACAGCTTATTGTTGTGACATCACCATTGTGTGGTGGTGAGTGGCATGTTGCCTTCTTCTGCTGCTTTTGCTACTGCCTTCATCTATGAAAAAGTGAGAAAGTGCTCTCATCACTTGCTGGCCTTCAGCTTGGGTAACAAATGTCATGATTACCTAAGGACTTTTGAAGAACATGTCAAAAAACAAAGGTTATCAGCATCTTATGGTGCATCTACACTATAGAATTACTTCAGTTTCATACAGCTATAATTGCCAAGGCTCAGTGGTATGGAATCATGGACATTGTAGTTTTACAAAGTCTTTAGCCTTCTCTGTTTTATTGATGTGTTGGGCCTCGGCCTCTTGTAAGCCGCACTGAGTCCTTCGGGAAATGTTAGCGGAGTATAAATAAAGGATTATTATTATTATTATTATTATTATTATTATTATTATCAGACTACAATGCCTGTGATTCCAAAGCATTGAGCCATGGCAGTTAAAATGGGACCAAACTGCATTAATTCTACAATGTAAATGCAGTCTCGGGCCCCTTCCACACAGCTGAATAAAATCCCACATTATCTGCTTTGAACTGGAATATATGGCAGTGCGGGCTCAGATAACCCAGTTCAAATCAGATATTGTGGGATTTTCTGCCTTGATATTCTGGGTTATATGACTGTGTGGAAGGGCCCTCAGAAGCAGAGAGATATTGGTTTATTTATACTTGTTGAAGCAATTGCTAGTGTACAGTTATCATCTGTACCAAAACTGCTTCATGGCGTATCAAATGGAGCACAAAATGCTAAGCCCTAAAAAACACAAAAATGTTTTTGTGACATCTTTTTTTTCCGGAGAAAAGATGGTTAGAAGATGAGAACTTATATCCATAATAACAACTTCATTGCTCAAGATATGAATACAAAAATCATATTTTTATTGGAAACTAACATTGATGTGAAACTGTAGTTTCATTGGCCTGCTTTGTTGAGAAGCAGCCCATGGAAGATTTTGAACTGGCAATAGGAAGGACTTCTTTACATAGTGCATCATGAAGTGATAGTCACCAACTGTCCCAATGGGTGACCTTGGGCAAGTCCTCAATCTTAGAGCAAGACAATGGCAAACTGTCTCTGAATAAGTGCCACCAAGCAAATCTTATGATGCAGTCACCATAATGAAGGTTGCTTCCGGGATCAGGGGAAATATTCCACTGAATACCTGTTTCTTGTGGAAAATTGCCAAATGTGACTATTGCACTCATATCCTGCCATGTTTTCCTTGTGGGTTTCCCATAGACCTATCTCTGGTTGAACACTGAGAAATGGGATACTGGTTGGATCCAGCAGGTTCTTGTTCTTTAAAGAATCTTAAAAAAAAGAAAAACAGTATTTATTTCTAAAGTTAATTTGTTAACTGTTTTTAAAATTCTGCTCTTATGTGTTGTCAGGGTCACATGGGCCTAGGTTTCCAGGGACCAAAAGGCGATAAGGTAAGTTAAAAGTCATAAAGCTATATCATGTGCTCTTCTATTAGAATCTGATTTCTTCTGAAACGTTACCTTTTGTCTTGTCTCCCTCAAATTAGATTAGTATAATCCTAGAATAATCATTATAGAATTTCTTGTTACGGTATAGACCAGGCATGGGCAAATTTCCAAACATGGGCCTTCTAGGTGTTTAAGACATCAATTCTCACAATTCCTAACAGCCTACCAGCTGTTAGGAATTGTGGGAGTTGGTCTAAAATGCCTAGAGGGCCAAAGTTTGCCCATGCCGAGTATAGACTATGACACAAACATGCACATGCAAAGATGACAGATCTCAGCATGGTGTTAGGTCTCCATTCATATTCTGAGAGTTCTGAACATGGTGCTTAGTGATGCTGGATAGAAGTCTTTACTTTCCTTTAATTGTCCAACAGCAACAAACTAAACTTCATCAGAAGAATGTGAAACTAAGTGGACTTTCATTAAAAAGAAATCATAGAACCATAGAATTATGGAACCATAAGTTTGGAGTCAACCACCCAACCCTATCCCCTCCCATTCAGGAATTACCGTCAAAGCCATCCCAATAGAATCTATTTGATATTATTCATTTAGCCATATTTTTTGTTATTAAAATGATGGATTTGTGAATTTTTGGGAGAAGAGATGTTTAAGAAACAATAGAACAGTGTTATATGCAAAATTAGAACTAAGAAACTTTCATACTCATCTTGCATGCTTAAAACAAATGGTTACAAAGTAAATGACAATGGATGTAAATGTATTGAAAAAAATACTATGAATGTGTCATAATTTTTGAGGACACACTGTTTCTGTTCTGGCCCTTTTTACTTGATTGATTAACAGCATGTGTGTTCAAAATTCTGTAATTATAATAAAATATCTTTTCACTTCTTTCTGTAAAGCAGTCATATATTCAGCATTTTGAAAAAATATACCACATTAAGATTTTGGGATTTTGTATTACAAGAGCGTGTGTGTGTGTGTGTGTGTGTGAGGAGCGACTTGAGAAACTGCAAGTCGTTTCTGGTATGAGAAAATTGGTTGTCAGCAAGGACGTTGCCCAGGGGACACCCAGATGTTTTACCATCCTGTGGGAGGCTTCTCTTATGTCCTGCATGAGAAGCTGGAGCTGACAGACGAGAGCTCAGTCCACTCCCAGGATTTGAACCACGGACCTTTTGGTCAGCAGTCCTGCCAGCACAAGGGTTTAACCCATTGCGGTACCGGGGACTCCTATTACAAGAGTGAATCAATAGGACTAGAATGTCTAGTTCTTCCAAATTTGTATTTCTAGCATTGGTTTTTCCAGTCATTTTTTTTACAAAATAGAAAAACAAAAGACTATATAATGTGCATTTGGAGTGGGATGTGTGTGTGGGTGTACTCAGAAGCACTGCTGAAAAGAAAAATCAGCACAAGAGTGAATTTCAACCTCTCTATTCTCTTTCAATATGGAGAGAAAATCACTTCAGTAATAGTGGTGTGTTTCTATAGAAGAACAATGAAAACTTTTTGCTCCTGCAAGTCTGTGTTATTTGCCTATTCTTATTGCAATACACATTCCTACTGTTCCAAAAGACCATTGGATTAGTCATATTCAATGTTATACTTGAAAAGATTGGGTTGGACAAAATTAATTTGGCCTTTAAAAGTTAATAGTGCCCCTAAATGTGCTAAGTGTTCTGGCCCTTAACTGGATTGCAGTACTTCTTGTGGCTTCCTTGCTTAATATTTGCTTATTGTTTGTTTGTTTGGGGGGACATCTAGGGTGAACGGGGTGTCATGGGTCCTCCTGGTCCCCAAGGAACTGCACCGCATGAGAAAGAGAAAGGGGTCATAGTCATCCATGGAGAGAGAGTAAGCATGTATATATTATTCCTCTCAATATCGGCTGCTGTTTTATGAATTGTATCCTTCGTCATGAGGATCAGTGAGGAAATTTAAAAATACTAATTGACTGTCTGAAGTCTATTGCTTTTCTCATAATTTCTCTTCTTATTTTCTTTTCCTTTCTTTATGTAAAAAATAAATTATTGTCACAGGAACCTTTGTTGACTTGTAACTCTTTTGGTCTACTGCCTTCTTAATATTCAACCACAGTAAGAAGAAGTAATTGATTTCCAGTGGATCATTTAGGTGCTAAAGCTGTGGTTCTCAACCTGTGTGTCCACAGGTGTTTTGGTCTACAACTCCCAGTAATCCCAGTCAGTTTACCAGCTGTTAGGATTTCTGAGAGTTGAAGGCAAAAACATCTGGGGACCCACAGGTTGACAACCACCGTGCATCCAGTTTTAGAATAATTGATGTAGTGTAAAATCTGAAGAAATGATATCTCAGGGTGCTTTTCTAAACAGTGCTGCAAAATTGGAAATGCTGGCTCATTCTCACAGCTATAAGAGAGAAAGGGCTTTTATTAGACTTTATTGCACAAATCTCTTATTCCACTGCAGTTGTGCCCAACCCCCAAAAAAGGTGTCTAAGATTTAGGCCTGTTCTTGGTTTTATTGGGGGCACTGATTCAGGAAATTGCATTAGATAGGCCACATCAGCTCTAATTGCTCAGATATGGTTATCATGAATTGCTGTGAGCGAGTAGATGATAATTAGTATAAGTCTATATTGTGTTTTTTCAAAAACTAGAGCTGATTGGGGGAAACTGATGCCATTTCTGGAATCAGCAGCTCAAATATACCTGGAAACAAGTTGAACATTTGAGGCAGCAAAATATGTGTTGGCCTTATTGATATTGAATACATACCAGATTGAGCATCTCCAACATTACACCTCTCTTTAATTCTGCAATTGCATTTATTTGCAAATTTAGTGGTTGTGTGATCACACTACCAGTTTTCCTGACTGTTTAATTTTTTATTTATATTTTAGAGCAATTGCTCAATTCCAGATTTTTAAAAAACAAAACCAAAAAGGGCAAATATTACTTTAAAACATAAAAGAAAATGGCCAACTTGCCAACAGCAAGGAGGAGGGGGCGAGGAAGACAATCCCTCCCTTGGCATCACTTTACAGGTAGCATGCTGGTACAAAAGCAGGAGGGACACATATCATCATTATCATCATCATCATCATCATCATTTAATTACTTATTAATCGCCCTCCATCCGAGAATGCTCCAGGCGATTCACAGCTAAATTGTAAAAGATAAAATACATACATACAAAAATTAAAATTAACAGAGATCGGATGCTCTAGTAAAAAGCCAGGTCTTAAGTGCTAGAGTAAAAGGCCCTAAGTCACGCATGGCTCTCATATAGGGCGGCAAGGAATTCCACAAGGCAGGGGCAGAAATAGAAAAAGCCCTGCGTCTGGTCCTTTCCAAGTGCACTTCTCTAGGACCCGGTATATAGAGTAAGTCGCATTGGGCTGGTCGTTGCAACCTCCGATGATGGGAGAAGGAGAGGCGGTCCCTAAGGTACGATGGACCCTGGCCGTAAAGAATTTTAAAGGTCAGAACTAACATCTTATACAGGCCACGGTACTCAGTTGGAAGCCAATGTAAATGTTGCAGCACTGGTGTTATATGGCATTTCATGGGCGTTCTTGTGAGTAACCTGGCTGCCGCATTCTGGACAATACGGAGCTTTTGGGTCGTAGAAATAGGAAGGCCAACATACAAGGCGTTACAATAGTCCAGCCTAGATGTGACCGCGGCATGGATGACTGTTGCCAGAGCCTAGGGTGCCAATTGCCTCGCTTGTCATAGATGGAAAAAGGCATGTTTGCTGGCAGCAGTGACCTGAGCTTCCATTGTCAGCTGCGAATCCAAAACGACACCCAAGCTCTTAATGGTAGGCAAAGGAGATAGGGTGGCACCATCGAAGGTGGGCAACGGAGGAGTCAGACTTGCCGGGCGGCAATGCCAGAGAATCTCAGTCTTTGCCGGGTTCATCTTCAGTCTGCTAGCACGCAGCCAGTTCGACAGAGCTTCCAGACATAGGAAGCTCTGTCACCAAGATATATGGCAGGAACATTGTAGGATTGAAAGATTTTGATGGGATGAGAGAATCATGGGAAAGGACACAGACCAGAATAATATTAGTTTATCTACTTCGTGTGTTAAAGTACTTTGGTTGTTCAGACTTACTGTGATGTTTTGCCTCACGGCTGATTATAAACGCCACCGACCCAGTGTTCTGTCAAACAGTTTATGATAATCATACCTAGAGCTTTATTTTTTTTAAAAGCATTTCAATGATATAGTGTTCCAATAAATATTTAGCTGTTCACATTTCATGAGTGTTGGATAACCCCCCAAAATGCTGTGTTCAGAGGACACGTAGCAGTGCATATTGACAACATAACTTATGCCACATTTTCTCTTTCTAATAGGGTGATCCTGGTGAAAAGGGTGACCCTGGTCTCCCAGTAAGTATGAAGCTGAATATTTTCTTTTTCATATCAAAAAGTGATGGTTATGGTGAAGCAGTAAAAATAAAATTTCCATACAACTTGTAGTTAAAAAAGGAACCAAAGGGGGACTTTTAAAATTACATTAGGACACCTCTAGCCTGTGTTCCAAATTTGGCCCACTGGGTTTTGGCAGTCACAATCATGAGAGACGCTTTCCTAATTTCCATCCCTCAGAGTAGGGAAATGGTTGAAAACTTTGAACCAGTGGTTCCCAAATACATTGCTCTATCTTGCGGGTGAAGAGTGGGGTAGGCCTGCCCTCCTAATGTTTCTGTCCTTTTAGTGAGGTGGGAATTTTTGCCATTTTCTATGCATGGATCACCAATTAGAAACTCCAGGACATTCATGGCAATTGTCAGGTTATTTGCAGGCATCTTTGTGGGATGTGAAAGGCAATCTCTCAAGACGTATCCTTTTGAAATCTGGTCTATTAAATAACAGATAAGCTGGAGAAAGTGGCAGTTGAGATGGCAGATGTAGGGAAGATACATTGTAGGGAGGTATTATTCATAGAATTTGCCAAAGGCTAACGTAGCTCTGTGAGCCTATTTTTCTCAATCAGAGTTTGCAGTTGTTGTGAAGTTGTGCCATTGACAGGTGACTATAGACAGAATGAATACAGGACATAATATTCATTGTCTCATCATTTGTGCTGACTCCTTCCACACACAACATAGTCTTGTGTTAGATCTTCTGCTGGTATATTTTCACTGGCACAGCAGGTGTATTTGTCAGCTCTCCTAACATATGGCTCCTCAGAGAGTATATAGCATTGCAACTTAGAATTATTGTGAAAAGTTAAATTTCCAATAGACTTAAGTCACATAAAATAATGTCATTTTTTAAAGGGATCACCAGGACTGAGCACAAAAGGGGACAAAGGTGAACCTGGGAATCCAGGTGCACGGGTATGTATGCAAAGCTTTTATGATTTGGTTTTTCCAGATGTTTGAATATTATGAATGTGATCATTTTTAAAAATCAGAAGTAAAATTGAATGGCTGGAATTGCTTTCTTATTGAAATTGTGTGTTGTCCAGCAAAACTCTTGAGTGTCTCCTTTCTACTTCTACTTCTACTTCTACTTCTACTTCTTCTTCTTCTTCTTCTTCTTCTTCTCCTCCTCCTCCTCCTCCTCCTCCTCCTCCTCCTCCTCCTCCTTCTTCCTCCTCCTCCTCTTCTTCTTCTTCTTCTTCTTCTTCTTCTTCTTCTAACTATGGATATAGATCAGTGAGGGAAAGTGCAGTATTGCAAAAGACATTTTTGCATCTCCCCCCCCCCCCAACATGTCGTTATTGTTTGCCTCTGCCAAAATGGCAAAATGGGTTCAGGGGCCTGCTACATTCAGAGGGTTTTAATTTCTTCTCCACATTTTTTAAGCTGGGTGTTTTCCAATCAGGAAGTGGCCGTCCCTGATTTAGACCTAGGAAACCACTGTCTCACTATGTAATATTCTTTATCTTTTGCCAAATAAGAAGTGGAATGGTGTACTATAGGAAATGCAATGCAGATAGTGGGAAGAGATGTGTCTAGAGCAGTGGTTCTCAACCTGGGGTCCCTAGATGTTTTTGGCCTTCAACTCCCAGAAATCCTAACAGCTGGTAAACTGGCTGGGATTTCTGGGAGTTGTAGGCCAAAACACCTGGGGACCCACAGGTTGAGAACCACTGGTCTAGAGAAAGCTCTGGTTCCAGTGACAATGGTGCCATGGGAAGGTAGATTCGTAAATAAATCACTTGTAGTGGTACTTACCTGACTTGGGACTCATGTGTTCCTCAAAGCTTCCTATTGGTTACTTTTGAAAAAACTGCCTTACAGATGTTGGAGATGAACCTGAAGAGCTATTGGTTGAAAGAGAGACACTTCACCTTGGAATCAGGGAATGAGGAGTGAAAAAGAGAGCATCATTTCCATAGTGGAAGCAGACAGCTGAAAGGGAGAGAAAGAGTGTGGTGAATTCACTGAGTTTGTCCTTCAACTAGTTTGCACAGAATGATATTCGAAAAACATCCACTTTCCATGGATATCAAAATATCTTTTCTGCCATATGTAGCAAAGCCAGTATATCCAAAGGGCTAAAGATGAAATGTATCTCCCTCAATGATCACACTTGAAGGACATGTGGGAAGAAGTGTTCTGCCTGTGAATCCAGCAATAGTGGAAAGTCTGACCATGTAGTGTGGGGCACTCCGAGTCCTTCTGCAGAGGTTGAGATAGGGCGGGATGCAAATGTCCGAAATAAATAAATAAATAGGATGTGCATATGGTCCTCCAAGATGAAAATTTCTTTAGGGGCAAAAGGAATTGGGAAGATGTGATTTTTTTTTTAGCCATCTTACAGATAATCTGTTTTAAGAGATTAAATTTGATTTTGCTGATTCTGTTGCAACTCTTTTAAAAAGGAAATGATTGACAACTAATATGATTTAGAGCAGGAATTGACAGCTCCACAAGGGGTAGGGATCATTTTTCTTCACTGTGTCAATTGGGTGAGTTTTGGAGGGATGTCACTTCCAGCTGTAATTTTGACTGATTTTGGGTTTTCCTCCTCTCTCTCTCTCTCTCTCTCTCTCTCTCTCTCAGAATTTTAGGGTACGTTGTAGGGCATGGGAAAAATTCTTCATTTTAAGGCAGTTTTGGAGTGTTTGGAAAAAAAGTCTGGAAATTGTTCCCCGAATTAAAATAAATATCGAGTGGGGTGGCGGGATAGAAAAAGTCTGCTTGGGGGTTCCAAAGGGCACACATGGCCCAAAAGTTGCACGCTTCCCATTCCTTATTTAGAAGAATGAAGGTTGTTTCACAGTTAAGAAATGCGTAACAGTTTGGAATTGGTTGTTTCTGCTAGAATTCTTAAAACAGCAGTTGTTTCAGCTCACATTATTGCGATATTTTATGGCTTATTAGATATATTTGTGGTTCTCAACCTGTGGGTCCCCAGGTGTTTTGACCTACAACTCCCTGAAATCCCAGCCAGTTTACCAGCTGTTAGGATTTCTGGGAGTTGAAGGCCAAAACATCTGGGGACCCACGGGTTGAGAACCACTGCTTTAGATCTTATGTATTCAGCAAAATATTATTTTTATTTTCCTCCTTCTTAATCTCTGTAGTATATTTTAGTATTGAACTTGGTACAACATATATATGTTTACCTGGTACTGGAAACATGGGTGGGCACAAAAATAGATTCAGTGATGACAGTAGAAAATAATCACATTATCTTTATAACTAAGTAAACTGTAGGTTAATCACAAAACAGAAAGAAAACCCCACAAACCCAGCAGTGTTGAGTGCCCAAATAAAAAGAGAAACAGGCGGTCATATTCAAGTGGAGTATTCAGCTTTAGAGTTTGGAGTCCAGAGGGCTTAGAGGCTTACTTAGGATGGAGCAAAAAAACAAACAAACAACAAAACAATGGTTTGGCTCAGAGAATAAAGAGCCAGGTATCTGACTTCACTTGCTACTTGATTGAGCTATGGCTACCGATCCATACAACACAAGAACAGTACAATATAAAATAATTATTTACCGTAGAACAATACTGTGGAGCGGGCATTCAAGACTAGGAGGTGGTCATGGCCCAAGGCTCAGGGAGTCATTTTCAGCAATTCTGGATCCTTGATGGGCTAGGCTGCTTTGCCAAACAGCAACCAGACTTGATTTCAAGGCAACTGGAAGTCACTGCCAGTGTGTTGCTTCTACCAGCATGTTTGAACTCCGCTACAAGTGGAGGGAGGCTTGGAATAGTTTCCTGGGTAAATGGAAATGACGCTGGTAGCTCACAGACAGGTAAAAACGCATATAGGTGGCAGTGGCCCCCCCCCCCAATATTCTAATAAAGCTATTCTATAACTTTTCCAGGAGAGGCCCCTTCAACACAGCTGAATAAAATCCCACATTATCTGCTGTGAACTGGGATATAGGGCAGTGTGGACTCAAATAACCCCGTTCAAAGCAAATAGTGTGGGATTTTCTTCCTTGATATTCTGGGTTACATGGCTGTGTGGGAGGGCCCAGAGTCTGAGACAACTTTGAGAAATTAAATACTAATTCCTCACATTGCCAATAATAGAAATATAAAATTCTGTTATGTCTGAATAAAGTAAAAGTATTTGTTTTTCAGGGAAGACCTGGGAAGGATGGAGAGCCTGGAGAGACGGGAAGAAGCGTATGTATTTCACTTTAACATATTATCAAGCTTTGTTTGACAAAAGAATGCTATCTCTTATAACATCATTTGGTACAGTATGGATCATTTGTTCCACCTTCTTTATGATATATATAGGGAGAGCCTGGCCCACCAGGATTTCCAGGACTACCCGGTGCATATGGTTCTAAAGTAAGTAGATCTGTGGGAAAAGATACCTAATAACTAAAGCATTTTTCTTCAGTTGTTGCATCTTTAAAATCTGTCAGTTCTTGTCGAACCTTTTCCATTATTTAATTATTTTTCTCCCTGTTTTGTCTGAAATAGCTAATTTGTTAGCGGGTTTTAGCTGTAGCCTGGGACAATTCAAAGTGCTGGCTTTAGCCTATAAAGCCCTAAACAGTTCTGGCCCTTCTTACCTATCCAAATGTATCTCCCTCTATGAACCATCTCAGAAGTTAAGATCATCTGGGGAGGCCCTGCTCTTGATCCCGCCTCCTTCACAGGCACAGGTGGTGAGGATGAGAGACAGGGCCTTCTCGGTAGTGGCCCCTTGGCTATGGAACTCCCTCCCTAAAGAACATCAGATCAGCCCCCTCCCTCCTGACCTTTGGGAAAAAACCTGAAAACATGGATCTGGGACTAAGTATTTGGATAATCTATCAGTGCAATATGTGTACGTGAAATGTGCAGTTATAACTGGAATGGCCTTGACTATGATATTGGATTCTGTGATTTTAATAATTTTAATTGTTGACATAATGTATATGTTCTATTGGCTGGATATGTGTTTTATGGCATCAAATTGTGCCTTTGTGTGTGCTGGTCTGAGTCCCCTTTGGGGTGAGAAGAGCAGTATATAAATATGGGAAATAAATAAATAAATAAATACATTTTGTTTTGACTTGGAAAGTTACCCTTTGCAATATGAATCAACTTTACTAGAATAATTTATTTATTTATTATTTATTTCACAGTTTTGTATACCGATCTTCTCAACCTCGTAGATAAGGGAGAATAACATACAATTGTGCTACGAAAGGAGACAAATTTGATATTAGCCCATGATTAAGTAATCCGTTTATTAACTCACATGTGTACTTTACTTATCATATTATCATTTTAGAAAAAGCTCTTGGTAATTTTGTGGTGGGGCGCGTGGAAATACTAGAATATAGAATTAATCCACTCAAAGTAGAAATGACAGGTTAAACGTTTGTTATCCCACATTCATTAAATCAGGAATCTTTGAATCACCTTCTTTATAAGATCAAAGTTACTTCAGTTGTGAATTTCCAACTTATATGCTCCAACTCTTTGGAACTCTCTCCCCAAGGAGGATAAAACTGCCCCTTCCCTGACATCTTTTTAAAAGCATCTAAAGACCTTCCTGTTTGCGTAAGCTTTTGATGAAGACATTTAACTGTAATTACTGGAAGACTAACTTTTATTGAGTCGTGCTAATGTTTACCATTTGTCTTGTTGAGTTGCTTGCAGTAATTGCATTAGACAAATGTTTTTACATATGTTTACTAATTTTTTATTGTAAATTTGTTTTTATAGGTTATTGTTTTACATATGCATATTGTTTTGTATGGTCTTTTATATAATGTTGTAAGCCACTTTGGGTCCCGATTAGGGAGAAAAGCGGGATATAAATAAAGATTTATTATTATTATTATTATTATTATTATTATTATTATTATTATTATTATTATCCAGAATTACTCACACATGGGTAGCTGAAATACTGACACCTTTGATTTATTTATTTGCTGTATTTGTATACCGCCTTTCTCAGCCTATCGGCGACTCAAGGCGGTTTCCAACAGAACAGTATACATAATATCATAGTACAAATTAAAACATCACAGCAGCATAAAACACAACAAGGCAATAAAAAAACATAATTGGCGTCTCCTTATTATCAAGCATTGTCCAGTTCCATCATCAAATCGTCAGATTTTCTATATCAGTTATTTATATCCATTACTCTGTATTTGTGAACGCTTGCTCAAATAGTCACATTTTAACTTACTTCCAAAACGTTAAGAGGGAGGGAGCAGATCTGATCTCTCTAGGGAGGGCGTTCCATAGCCAAGGGGCCGCCACTGAGAAGGCCCTGTCTCTCGTTCCTGCCAGACGTACTTGTGACAAAGGCAGGACCGAGAGCAGGGCCTCCCCGGACAATCTCAAGGTCCTTGATGGTTCATAGCGGGAGATGTGTTTGGACAGGTAAGTTGGGCCAGAATCGATTTCTTATGGTTCAATGTACATAGACTTTATTTGATGCACAAAACTATTTAAAACATTGTGTATAAACCACCTTGACACAACGTGTTACCAGTTCAATCCCACCTTCCCTGCCTGCCATTTCTCAAATGTGTTTTTATAGCCTCCCCCCCCCCCCTCAAACCCTGGCTATAAAATCCTCTGAAGCCTCCAGATATCCTTTAGTGCAATTCATAATAGAAAGTAATATGGATCTTATAAAGAAGGTGACTCAAAGATTCCTGCTTTAAGGAAGTGTTGTAATGCTACCCATCTAAAAATACAATTTATTTATTATTTATTATTTATTTAAAAGTTTTATATACCGGCCTTTTCACCTCTCTTGAGGGACTCAGCCCGGTTTCCAACCATAATATCACATACAGTTAATAAAAACATAATAATTCATTTTACACTAAAACATTAAAACAGCAATTACATTCAATAGCTACAATGGTCAGTCGTCACACTAACTCATTGTTCATCATTCTCCATCCATATCTGGCTCACTTGTCGAATACCTGTCTCCATAACCAAGTCTTCACCTGTTTCCTAAATGTCAGGATAGACGGGGCGGTTCTGATCTCCAGTGGAAGAGAGTTCCAGAGTCGAGGGGCCACCACCGAGAAGGCCCTGTCCCTCGTCCCCACCAGACACGCTTGCGAGGCTGGTGGGACCGAGAGCAGGGCCTCTCCAGACGATCTTAATAATCAAAAGTAAAAGCTTTGATACATAATTTTGGCATATTATATATCTTTGTTGTGGGCTATTATAAATGCAGCATGATTAGACTGTATGCATTCCTAGTAAGTCCATTTTTAAATGTATGGTTCTTCTCTTCTTCAGGGAGATAAGGGTACAACAGGTCCACCAGGACTTCCAGGAATTGTAAGTGCAAAATATCATTTTAAAAACATTTGTTAGATACAGCAGAGGGGACATAGAAAATGATGATCCAGTTAATCCTGTGTTATCAGCTGAAACTGACTGCAATATCCTGTGGTCTCCACTGGATTTAATAAAACTTTGATTTTTATTAAAGTAATTCCAATTTTACAAGTCATTCAAATACTTGGCTTTAGGAGATTTAAACTTTCTAAACAAATATTTAATTGCTTAACGGTTTTGTGAAATATTTAAAGATTGTATGGCACAGGGCAGGATACCAATGAGAAGGAAGATAAAGATGAAATAGATCATGTTAATATGGGCTGAATGCGTTGATACCTACAAGGGTGCAAAAATTAACACTATTGCACATTTCTACCTTTACTATTTTTATTCATGGAGTGCAACATGATATTTGTTTTGTTAACTGTGGTACATATGAGGACATTTTTATGAATACTGGAGAGCATTAGCAACACTATGAATTCAGAATTGACAGGACAAAATTTGTTCTGTCAGAAAAGCTCACAATATTAAGAGTGAATCAGAGTGTTGTGGGAAAAAGACAATTAACAGGCCTTAGCTATCTATTTATTGTGCATGCAAATGTTGCTGAAATTTGATGCTCAGTAGAATTTAACTGGTTAGTGTTTTCCTCCAAAACCTATAATTGAAATTGTGGAGAGATGTCTTATAGAACTGCTTGATCCATTGCTCTTCATTGAGAAAACAATCTAAGATTGTACAATGTTGGCACATTTCCCAGAATAAATCAAAGTATATTTAATAACTTGGAGACTTTCCATTTTCATAATGAAAATGGTTGATTGGTTGTATTCTCCGGTCCCTGTATTTAATTCTTGTTTTTAGTGTTTTGTAATTCTTTGTAAAATGTTAATCAATAAGGGAAACTAAAGTAATTTTAGGAACCCAGCAAGCATTTGCTAGCAGGAAGCAAGACGTAAACTATGGTTGGATCTACACTGCTCTATATCCCAAGATCTGATCCCAAATTATTTGCTTTGAACTGGATTATATGAGTCTACACTGCTAGATAATCTGGGATAAGCAGATATTCTGTGATCAGATTCTGGGATATAGGGCAATGTATATCCAGCCTATAGAACACTTAGATTTAAGGAAAAGTAAATCACTGTGGGTAAATCACCGGAGCCCCCAGTTGCACAGTGGGTTAAACAGCGGAGCTGCTAAACTTGTTGACCAAAAGGTCACAGGTTCAAATCCAGGGAGTGGTGTAAGCTTCAGCTGTCAGCCCCAGCTTCTGCCAAAGTAGCAGTTCAAAAATATGCTAATATGAATAGATCAATAGGTATCGCTTTGGCGGGAAGGTAACGGCGCTCCATGCAGTCATGCTGGCCACATGACCTTGGAGGTGTCTATGGACAAAGTCGGCTCTTTGGCTTAGAAATGGAGATGAGCACCAACCCCCAGAGTCGGACACAACTGGACTTAATGTCAGGGGAAAACCTTTACCTCTACCTACTAAATCGCTATTGATCCCTAGTGTTTTTCCAGTTTTAACTAGAAGTCAATGCAGATGTGATTCTTTGTAACAAATACTACACTCTGCAAAATGTAATACTTGTTTCAGTCTCTAGTCTGAAGTGCTACAATCATCTGTTCATGTACAGAATAATGGAATAACAGATACTGGGTTAAAGAGTTTGAGTTCTCAAACAGGCTTTTATTTATTTATCATGTCAGAAGCAAATTGAGAATAGAGTTATAATGTATTTTCCTGGATCATATCATCACAGAGCCAGAGGTTAAAGTTTATAGTCTTTCCTCCATGCCTCTTCAATCTCACCTCTCTCTTAATACTGATATAACAATATACTTTATTTATATTCCGCCCTATCTCCCTGAGGGGACTCAGGGCAGATTATGACAAACATTCAATGCTGTTATACAATTAACAAAGGCAGACAATACATAAACAGAGGTAAAGGTTTCTTATCTTTTCTCATCTCCGTCATCCGGAGGCTGTGCTCTACTCCGGCCACGAAGGAGATTACTATCGCTCCATCTTCCATGTCTTTAGATGTTCTCCTGATCAAATTGCTGGCATGTCTGTATGGGCGCCTTTTATTACCTCCTCACCAAAGTGGTACCTATTTATTTACTCACATTACAGTTTTTGAACTGCTAGGTGTGAGCAGATGCTGGGCTGGTGGTTGCGAGCTCACCCCAACCCTGGCTTGAACTGTTGACCTTTTCATCAGCAAGGTTTTCTGCAGCTGGCAGTTTAACCCGCTGTGCTAAAGCCCGGCCCTTCACCCCAAATATTCCGCAGAAATAAAGACATTAATGGTAGTGTCTCCACATGGTCTCACAGGTTATCCTGGTCGTGGTAGTCCTCATTTTGAGGACTGTTTCTGGCTCATGTCCTGATATATGAAGTTGCTTAAAAGTGTAAACATGTCAATCGTAGTTCCAAATAGGAAACAATTGGTCAGTAGAACTTAATCATATTGCCTATATATCAGATTGAATCCTATCACTCTAATAGTCTCAGGAATGGACATTTGGGATTTTTAAATTTCTCTGTATTTTTCCATCTGCATATTATCTAGGTTATAGGTACAGGGGATGAAGAAGTCTATGGTGAAAGGGGAGATCCAGGCCCTCCAGGAGTCCCAGGACCAAAAGGCGAACCAGGTCTAAAAGGTAAATATTACTCTTTTATAGGGAAAAACCCCTTTCTGTCATCCAGTTCTGAGAGTCGCAGTGGCACGATGTGTTAAAACCTTGTGCCAGCTGGACTGTTGACCTGAAGGTTGGGTTGCTGACCTGAAGGTTGCATGTTTGAATCCATGAGATGGGGTGAGCTTCCGCCCTGTCTGCTCTAGCTCGCGGGGACATGCGAGAAACCTCCCAGCAGGATGGTAACACATCTGGGTGTCCCTTGGGTAATGTCTCTGTAAGCAGCCAATTCTCCCACAGCAGAAGCAACTTGCAGTATGTTACTTCTGGCACGATTTTTAAAAATCCAATTCTGAGAAATTGTCACATCCACCTTCTCAGTGGATTATGAGAACCCAGAACAACTATGTAACATGCACCAAAGCCAATTCAAACTTACCTTCTAATCATTTGCTGTGTTTGCTTTACTAGGTTTTCAAGGGTTCCCAGGATCACCAGGTCCCCCAGGTGAGAATGCATTATTTCTTTGCTTGTTTAATTTCAGTAGAGTAGCCTCAACTCATTTCTGATACACAGACCTTCTTTAGGTGATACATACTCTCACATGGATATATCCCCAGCATCACATGCATAAGTGCTGATGATTCTAGTTCTGGTAGCACACCCTTAATGTAGAATTGTAGAATATTTAATGTGATATACAGATAGCACTCTTACCATACAATGAGGCCTGATGCAAAAGCATATGACATGTGAAGCCCTGTCCCCATTAAGAATGAGCACCAACTTCCTTCAATGAAATTATAGTCACATTTGAGCCATCATTTCTCTAGGTTTCACTATGCATTCTGCCCAAATCTACCCAAATCTGAAATATTTTGGGAAACATTTAGATCAGCACTGCTATAACTGTGTATCTTATTCATGTTTTATTATTGTTTTATTTGTTAGACAGTTATATCTATGTATTTACAAAGCTTTAATCTACAATGAGGGTATTTTAGATATTATCTGTTCAAAACAAAATAACTTTGATATAATGTATTCAAATACAGAGTCAGCATAGTGTCGTAGTTTGAGTGTTGGTCTATGAGCGTTGACACAAATCCCTGCTCCTTCATTGAAACTCACTGTATGACGCTGAAGGTCATACTTTCTCAGCCTCAGAAGAAGGCAAGGGCAAATGACCTCTGATGAAATCTTGCCAAGAAAACAGTATGGTAGGGTATCCTTAAGGTTGTCATAAGTCGGAAATGACTTAAAGGCGTACAGCAACATTTTCAAACAAGGAAAATAAGATAAATGCATTAAGTTTTTAGAGACATAGGATGGTCATATATACATTCAGAGCAGTCATTCATGTTTACCTCTTCTTTGGTGATGTTTTGAGAACCAATTCACTTGAAAGGACCTGAGATATTTACCTGAGATCATATTACTGCGATCTTTGCAAGGGTCGATTGACTATGGGTGATATGAGAAGATGATTGGGGATAGGAGCTTTGCATTTTTCAAAGGGATTTTTCACATTTGTGATTTTTTAAAAACTACATGAAGTAGTTGTTTGAGCAATCAATACATTGCTGCCTTATGACATGGAACTTTTCAAAGTGGAAGCACTGGGTGTATTGTTAGGAGGTTGAAGTCTGGACTTCAGGTTGGCATCAAACATCTCAACATTTCAAAGAATTAGACTGAATAGCTTGTTGAATAAGTCATCATCTTGAAGCTTGAATTCATTGGTAGATGTCAGACTCAGAAATACCTATTATGCCCTCCTTTTGCCAGTTTCTCCCAGCTGTTTTTCACTGATGTCTGTCTTACTGCATCCTTTTACTAAAGGGCAACCCACTCCAGGGATAACAGGGCCACCCGGCTTTCCTGGGGAGAGAGGAGAAAAGGGTGACCTGGGTCCCCCTGGCCTTCCTATGTTTGGAGAAAAAGGGAGAGATGGATTTCCAGGACCTCGTGGCTTTCCAGGACCTCCGGGCCCACCTGCCACAACAGGTAAGTCAGTGGTCAAAAAGTAGACCTCTTGAATGTTCAAAATGCTGCACATTTCCAGAGTGAGTTACATTGAAGATTTCTTCTAAAATTAAGTGACTCATCACCTCCCTCCACAAAACCTAAAAAACTTCATTCAGTAAACTGCCTGAAGTCTTAGCCTGGTCCATCTTCTGGTAAACTACTTGAATGGGCATTAGTACATATGGGTACAAAAATATATATAGCAGGATCACCTGGGAATTTTAGAGTCCAATTTGATAGCTTATTACTTTCTTCAGAGAATTTTATGTATTATAATAACCTAACAAAATAGACTGATAATAACCTAACAAAATAGATTGAATCCGTGAGATGGGGTGAGCTTCTACCTGTTAGCTTCAGCTTGCGGGGACATGTGAGAAGCCTCCCAGCAGGATGGTAACACATCTGGGCGTCCCTTGGGCAACGTTTCTGTAGACAGCCAATTCTCTCTCACCAGAAGCAACTTTCAAACTAGAAAATAAGTACATCATTTATACCCTTTCATATAAATTGACCATTCATGAATATTTCTTAAAATTACCATTTCTATTCAGGATCTTAGGTTCCAAAATATTTGTAAGTAATAGGTTCAGAGTTTCTTGTGTATTTAAATGTTTGTATGCACTTGAGTATGTGCCCTACCCCAGATAAAGAAGTTTGAAGTTGATTATTATTTGCATACTGAACCATGTCTAAGGTTCTTTGGGTGATTTACAATGAAAATTTAAAATGTACTGCTCAAAATATTAACCTTTTTGTTTTCAGAAATGGATATATTCACAAACACAAATCCAGCCATAGAGAAAAAAAAAGCTAACTTATAGAGCAGTAAGAGGAATTTGTGGGAAAAACCTAGTGGAGTTTCACTCCACTAATTGTAGACAGTAGCAGATAGATCTAGGATTGTGTCACATTTCAAACCATACCATATTGTGTGTGTTTTTTCCCATTCTTGATGGTATAAGAACAATTGTTGTAAACAACCAATATTTTAAGAATACATTTTGTCCAATAATTATTGGCTGGAGTTAGCATAATCAGGAAGTTCAGAATCAACTTCACAGCTGAATGAACTAAATCAGTAAAAATCAGTTTATGCATTTTGGTATTGTGTAACAATACACCATTCCAGAAACCTGTATGAGTAGTTGAAAGAACAAATGTATTTTGTTTGTATTGAAATTAGAAATAAAGTTAGTGTGGGTGCTTCACATTAAGAAGGATATAGATTAGTTGGAGTTGGTTCAGAGAAAGGCAGTGGTAATGATAAGAGGTTTGGAAAACAAAACTTATGAGGAGAAATTGAAGGAACTTGGCAGATTCAGTTTTGGGGTGACTTAAAGGTGATATAGTTGCACTCTTTAAATACCTCAAGATCTGGCACAAGTAGGAGAAGACAGTGCCTTCTGCTGCCTCAAAGATCAGATCAAATGGTTTTAAGTTACAGGAAGATTATGATTGAACGCTATGATGAATGTCTTGACTATAAGAGTGGTTTGGTAAAGGAAGCAATTGCTTGGAGAGATGTGGGGTCTCTGGGTATTTTCAGAAACAGTCTGAGCAGCTTCCTGCAGGGAATGCTTTAGTTTAGATCCTGCACTGAGTGAGGGATTGGACTCACTGAGTGAGGGATTGGCCCCTTCCAACTCTGTAATTCCATGCTAAGATGTGAAAAGAACTTTGCAGTCACTATTACTTCTAATACTTTATTTGTTTTAGTAGTTTTTCTATTCACGTTACATTCTGTAAGTTAACAACATTTTAATGTTTAAGAAACAAATTTTCAGGGTTGTTTTCTACAGTGGTTTTCTTCTACATGGAGAGTTCCCAAGCTCCTCTGCAGTCACATGAATCTCATTTCATGGAGAAAAATCTCACATGTGAATTATCTAACAGCAGATAAAACCAGTAGTAATTTTGATCTGGGGAAATGGTAGAAGGAGATCTTGTCAGTGTTTTTGATGTTTGAGTGAAAACAGCATCTCCTTTAAAATGCATGCAAAGAGAAGTTACAATAGTTCTTGAGTTAATACAATAGAGAGGAGTAACATTGAAGGAATGCAAGCTATGTAGTTTCCGATATCAAACGGAAGAGAAGACCAAAGTGTGTTGTTCTTTCACCATGATGTGACCAAGATCAGACATACATTTAAGGTTGTGCTGTATAAACTATATAAATAAAGCAAAAGAACCTCTCTTTTTGGGAACTGATTTTTGGAGTCTGTCTGAAGTTTCTTACGATCCTTCGTGCCTTTAAGGACAGAGTCTTTGAAGGCTGAGAAGAGGAGATAAAGCTGGCTGATTTGTGATCACTTTATCTCAATTTCCTGACAGATCTGTGATCTGCCATTTTATAAAGTAGACTTTTCCATATGAATGCAGTTCTGCAAATAGGTGAGATTGGTTCCAGGTAGAAGAAGAATACAATGAATCAGCCTTCAACAAACAGAAATTGTGTGCCCACATTGTTCCAGTGTGCCACTCACTTCTACTTATCATGATCAATGTCACTGAACTAAATGTATAAATGTATCATCATTGGAATGACTTTTAGAGATAGCGTTCTCTATTATTTCATTTTCCAAATTGCAGGTGGAGTTCTGCAGTGCCAGTCTGGTGAGCCTGGTGAGCCGGGCCCTCCAGGGTCCCCAGGTCAGCATGGCTTCTCAGGAGAAATGGGAGAAAAAGGTAACGCTGACTTTGGTTTTAGATATTCTCTTTTGAGCTCCTCTAATTCCTATATGGCCCTGGACAAGTAGCTTCATAGCACTAGAGACCTGTCCCCACCTACAGACCTTATGCTGTCCAGTTGATGGCATTTGTAAAACTGCTACCTAATTTTCACTCAGAATTTTTTCAAGATATTGCAGACAGACATCTTCAACAGGCACTCTTTTGGAGAGATCAATTCTAAGAAATACCGAACAGGAGATAGTACAACCCTGAACCTGTAGGGGTTCTTGAACGTATTGTGGAAACAAAAAAAAAAAAAAGGATAATAGTGAACTCTATTGAATTGAAGGGCTTCCGATGCAAGTTATTATAGAGTTACCTAGGACAGTGGTTCTCAACCTAACTAATGCCGTGACCCCTTAGTACAGGTTCTCACATTGTGGTGACCCCCAACCATAACGTTATTTTAGTTGCTACTTTTTTAATTTTGCTACTGTTATGAATCGTAAATATCTGATATGCAGGGTGTATTTTTATTTACTGGACCAAATTTGCCACAAATACCTGATACGCCCAAATTTGAATACTGGTGGGGTTGGAGGGGATTGATTTTGTCATTTGGGAATGTTGGAGTTGCTGGGATTTATAGTTCACCTAAAATCAAAGAGCCTTTTGAATTCCACCAATGATGGGATTGAATCAAACTTGGCACACAGAATTCCCATGGCCAAGAGAAGTACTGGGAGAGTCTGGTAGACACTGACCTTGAGTTTTTGGAGCTGTAGTTCACCTACATCCATGGATCACTGGAGACTCAAACAGTGATGGATCTGGATCAAACTTGGCACAGATAATCAATATACCCAAATGTGAACACTGGTAGAGTTTGGAGAAAATAGACCTTGCCATTTGGGAGTTGTAGTTGCTGGGATTCATAGTTCATCCACAATGAAATAGCATTCTGAACCCCACCAATTAGAGAATTGGACCAAACTTCCCATGCAGAACACCCATGACAAGGAGAAAATACTATGTTTTCTGATGGTCTTTGGTGACCCCTCTAACACCCCCCCACGACCCCCACAGGGGTCGTGACCCCCAGGTTGAGAACCACTGACCTAGGAGAACAAAAAAGAAAGAAAGAAAACTGTTGCCACTTCTAAAAAGTGTAGGATGGAAAAGTCAAATGATCCTGTTATTTTAGTTGTTCTATGAAAAGTAATTGTGATCTTGGAAATCATAGGATGCAGGATAAATAGAATCAGGATACCCTTTTTATTTAGAGATGACAAATGCCCCATATGTGATATGTATGTAAATCCGGTAGACCGATAAATTGAAATTGTTATATGACAATTATTTTAAATTATAATTAACCTGATGAAAGTCACATTTGATGATCAGTTTGTTTCCTTAATTGGTTTTGACAGTGCGACTTAGAACCTCTAGTAACTACTGGGAATGTTGAAGCAAACCATTTGTGTTACTTGAGTTTCCTTGTGAAGAGAGAAAATAAACATAACAACAACATAAATCTTAAATTATTTTCTGTGTAGTTTCTGCTTAAATGTCTCAATTTTTAATATAGGTGATAAAGGAGAAAGCTGCATTGCCTGTGATACAGCTGGCTTAATTGGATCGCCAGGGCCCCAGGGCCCCCCGGGGGAACCAGGTAAAATGTAGAAGAAACCCTTAAGCTCCTACAGAGGAAGAGCTCCTCTGAGATTCCTATTATTCATATTATTCCATTTATGATTTTATGTTATATAAAAAATCCCAAAGCAATAAAAAGTGCCAGTATCTAGTGTAACGAAGTAACCAATCAACAAGCTGTTTTTGCCTCTAATTAGTAATATTATATGTTGTCTTTTGGATATTGCCTTTTTAGCCATCTTAACATTGTATTCTCATGGATTTTGCATTATTGACATAATTCCTTCACTTTCTAATCTGATGTCTTTTCTCTGAAGCAAAGTGAATTCACTTCTGCCTCTTACTGATAAGAGTGATAATTCCAGAATAACTGGAACAGACCTAATTATTGAAAATGTATAAGGACATTAAAAATTCATACTGGAAATGTGAAACACATCAAGGTACTTTCTGCCATATGCAGTGGACATGCAACAAAGCAAAAGAATATTGGAAATTGATACAAAATTTGTTGCAAGAGCTCAAGCTGGAATACAGTTATGATCTGAGATTTAAAGCCATTCTAGTGTATTTACTGTGTTTTAATACTGTTTTTACCATCCTGTTATTATTTAATTGTTTTAAACTTTGTATTGCTCTTTTTAAACTGTGTAGTGTGGATAGATGTTAGCCACCTTGAGTCCCCATGGGGAGAAAGGTGAGAAATAAATGATGATGATGATGATGACAATAATACAACTAGATCCAACTTCATTTCTACTGTGACTTCTGAATGAATGAAGAAAAACAGATTTCAAATTATCACATTGCATGATTATAGAAGGCAACAATCCTGTTATTTTAGTTGTTCTATGAAATGCGTAAAAATGGAAAAATAAAGAATTACCCTCAAAAGAAAATTGGATTATAAAAATTCAGGAATTGGCAGAAATTGAAGAGTTATCTTGCTTGATATAGGAGAAGTCAACTGACAATATTTTAAAAGAATGGGAACTATTAGTATAATGTACTATGAAGAAAAAAGAACATGCTTGGGTTTTTTTGAAGCTTAAGTAAAATAACAAGGTAGAATGAAGTTATCCAAGTTAAGAAGTTAGTTGGACGGCAAGATAAGAAGTTACTGGAATATTTTCATTGTATGTCTTTAAGTGGGAAGTCAATTTTAACTTTTCAAAATGTTATGATGATTGCTTTTAGGAAAGGGAGGGCTGGGCAGCTTTAATAGGTATATTGGCGATATAAGTGACATGTAATTTACTATCTTTACAAATTGCATAGGTATTATATAAGTATCTTTACAAATTGTATAAGTGACATATAATTTACTATCTTTACAAATTGTATAGCAATATTTATATTCCTGAAAACATTTGTAAATATATAAATTAAAAATTAGTACAATACTAAAAAAAGAAATATATATATTAAAAATCACAGTTAGCCCCAGGATGACAGTTTCTGCAATATGTTAGTGATCATATTTAATAATGTCAATAAAATGTATTTATAAACATGTCAACAAACATTTTCAAGTGTCATTTTGCACCAACATACTTATAGGCATCAGTGAATATTTTATAATTTATTTTGTAGATGAGTATTTTTAGAATGTCATGCAGTACAAGAGTGAATACTACAAAAACATTCATTTTAAACATCCATGAGTAAGTTTAATATTTTCCTCCATTTCTGAACAAGGTTTTCCAGGACCTCCAGGTGCTAAAGGTGATAGGGGCAATCCAGGTTTTGATGGCATCCCAGGAGTGAAAGTAAGTAAACCATACAAAATGCCTTTGTAACAGTAATCAGCCAGTTTCATAGTATATGATACTGTAACTGCTTATTTTAGCATTACCTGAAGAACACCCCACATTGCCTAAGTCTATGCCAAGTACAGGTTGAGTATCGTTTATGCTTGGGACTAGGAATGCTTTGGATTTAGCTTTTTTTCCAGATTTTTTGATTACCTGTATTTATATATACATACATAATGAGAAATCTTGAAGATGTGGCCAGAGTTTCAATATGAAATTCATTTATGTTTTACATACATCTTATACACATTGACTGGGGGTTATTTAACTTGAAAGTGACCCCTACAACTTGGTCATGACCAATAAGTTCCCTTTTTTCATACGATAGGTTATATTCACAGAGATCTGTGGATATTGCCATTTATCATTATACATCACTGGTTCCCAAGCTGTGGTCTATGGACCACCAGTGGTCCGCAAGAACTAAAATATGGTCCACTGCCTCACTGTTGCAATGAGAGCGACTGGTCTTGCAAAAACCCCTTATTACTGCCAAGGCAATGGGGATGTTGGGAGGGGAGAGGTTGACTACCCGTGTAAGGCATGGCAACAAGCCTCCTGACTAGTGCTTTTCCTCCTCCCTCCCTCCCCCTGAGCGAAGCCCTTCCATATGGCATCTGGAACTGAGGGCATCTTGGTGTCTTCGTTTTTAGGTCTGTTCCTGGGGTCATTTGGGGTGCTGATGCAGAAAATTGCATTGAATAACCACATCAGCTCTAGATTATTAAATATAGTTATGGATCGGTACAGGTGATTATTGGTTTTCTTCCTGTGACTTATAAATCCAGTATTTTTCATTACCATGGGGCCAAAATTTTGGAATATGACTGACGTTAGCTAGTCCTTATTTCCATTGGTTTGTGTCCCGTGAATCCAGAGGCCTTTCAGTTTTGTTTCTCTCACTGATTTTATTAGTATACTTTATTATAAGGCATGTAATTGATTATGTATCTGCATGCAATTTCAGGGTTCTCCAGGTACACCTGGATTGATTGGAAGCCCAGGAGCAAAAGGAGAACCTGGAGATGTTTTCTTTGACTCGAACTTGAAAGGTGAAAAAGGAAACCCTGGTTTTCCTGGAACTGAGGGCACGCCTGGTCGAGACGGAAGCCCAGGGCGCAATGGTCTGCCAGGTGCCCCAGGACCTAAAGGTGCATCGGTAAGTATTTGTTTACCTTTAGTACATTTTACTTAATGAATTTTAAAGTATTTGATTGTATGCGATATTGGTGCATTCCTTGCACTTATGCAGATCTGATTGCATTGTTGCATGGTAGAATTCTCCTTCATTGGGATGCTTTTAGAATTAAATTCCATGACAAGTGTATGCACATACAGTATTAAGGATTTAAAATATTTACTTAAATGTCAGGAACAAATGTAAAAACCAAGATTTTATATGCACCTACATCATATATTATCTGAATTTGAATTTTTCCTATGTTGTTGATAGTTTTTTTTTTACCTTTCTTTGGTGAAAGAAGGAGATGGATTTAATGCTGCTCAGAATGAGAGACTTTGGGAAGCCCACTACAGATAGTTCAGTTTATTGCCCATATTTTTTGCCATAGTTGAGAAACTCATATTGCCTTCTATCCTCTTTACAAAAGTGAGAGATGACTCAAAGTCTAGACTAGTGGTTCTCAACCTGGGGTCCCCAGATGTTTTTGGCCTATAACTCCCAGAAATCCCAGCCACTTTACCAGCTGTTAAGATTTCTGGGAGTTGAAGGCCAAAAACATCTGGGGACCCCAGGTTGAGAACCACTAGGCGTAAACTTAAGCTTATATTTTAATACACCTTAGATATCCAGTGATGGCTGGATTAGGTCTTTTGCAATGATAAACATAAAATGAATTCATTGTTGGATTTTGGATTTTAAGATTGGGAGTTCTCCTTGATTCATCTCTGAGCCTGAAACCCCAGGTATCGGCAGTGGCCAGAGGAACTTTCGCACAATTAAAACTGGTGCACCAGTTGCACCCATACCTTGGGAAGTCAGATTTGGCCATGGTAGTCCATGCTCTTGTTACATTTCAAGTAGACTACTGCAACATGCTCTAGATGGGTTGCCTTTGAAGACTGTTCGGAAGCTTCAAGTAGTCCAATGGGAGATAGCCAGGTTTCTAACTGGAGCGGGATACAGGGAGTACACAATTCCCCTGTGGTGTCAGCTTCACTGGCTGCTAGTCTGCTACCGAGCACAATTCAAAATGCCGGCTTTAGCCTATAAAGCCCTAAATGGTTCCGGCCCAGCTTACCTGTCCGAATGTATCTCCCTCATGAACCATCTCAGAGGTTAAGATCATCCGGAGAGGCCCTGCTCTCTATTCCACCCCCTCACAGGCGTGACTGGAGGGTACGAGAGACAGGGTCTTCTCAGTGGTAGCCCCTTGGCTATGGAATTCCCTCCCCAGGAAAATCAGCCCCCTCCCTCCTGACCTTCAGGAAGAAAGTTAAATCCTGGTTGTGGAACCAAGTGTTTGCACATTGATTCCTAGTCCAACAATTATCTCTCAGTTCTATAGTGAACAATGCAAATTACAATTGGAATGGCTCCTGGTTTATGGTTCTAGACTATGTTATTTTAATGTATATGTTGTTGTATTTTATATGTACTTCAGGCAACAAATTGGGCCTCTGTTGTAAGTCACCCTGAGTCCCCTTTGGGGCAAGAAGGGTTGGGATCTAAATGTGGTAAATAAATAAATAAATAAATAAATAAGAATGGGCCCATTAGAAAATTCATAAGAATTGTTCCAACCTCACCAATATTCAAAGTAGGCCATGTTGGATCTGTGTGCCAAGTTTGGTCCAGATCCATTGTCATTTGGGTTCACAGTGTTCTTAGACTGCAGGTGAACTACAACTCACTAAATGCAAGGTCAATTCTCTCCAAACCCCACCAGTACTCAAAGTTGGTCATGCTGTGTATGTGTGCTAAGTTTGGTCCATCTCCGTTGTTGGTTAGTTTCACAGTGCTGTCTAAATGTAAGTGAACTAGAGCACTCCCAATTCAGATCGGTTCCCACTAAACCCTACCAGTATTCAAAGTTGGGCATGTTGGGTAAGTGTGCAATGTTTGGTCCAGATACATTGTTGGTTGGGTTTGGAATGCTCTCTGGATGTGGATTAACTATAAGTCCCAGTTAGCGTATGCATTTATGTTGAAACCTATTGTGCTTCATTTTTATTTTGGCTGCTAGTTTAAGGTGCCTTTTTATTGTTCTTCAATTGTTTTAATTTTTGTGAGCCATTATGTGTGTGTGTTTTAAAACCTAAAAATTACCTAAGTACAAGTGATGATGATGATGATGATGATGATGGTAATGCCAAAATGTTTTGAACCTTTTCCATTGGAGGAGAAGAGAGAAGTTCTTGTCTTGTTCTTGTTGATCTCGATGCTTACTTGAAACTGAACTAGGACTCCTATCTATAAGAATCATAAGGCACAAAGGAGAGACAATTACAAACATAAGAAAAATTCAAAAAGTTTTTGAAGATTATTATAGAAACCTCTATAAAAAATAATCCAGTAGATATTTTTTAAAAATAGACCAATACCTAGCGGACATGAAGGTCACCAAGTTTACAGAAGATATGAAATCAGACCTGGACAGACAAATAACATGGGAAGAATTTAATACAGCCATAGATAAAGCTAAATTAGATAAAGCCCCAGGTCCAGATGGATTCTCCACTTTGTTTTACAAAGTGTATAAAGAAAAATTAGGCCCATTACTGCTTTCTACAATGAATCAAGTACTCCAAAAAGGAGATATGCCAGTATCCTGGGAGGAAGCTACAATAATTCGCTTACCTAAACAGGACAGTTACTACTAGTGATGACTGAGCTTCCACCCCGACTCATGTAGCATATCCTCAAATATACACCAAGCTATTTCAAATGATCCCATATGTGCACACAATTGTTAGAGAAATTATAACAGTGTTGATTGAGAATCTTTTTCTATAGTTTTATTACTATTAAGGTCAGCTTTAAACTTGTCAAAATTACATTAATAGAATCATATTGATTAGAACAACAGTAAAATAAGAGTGTTTCTTCTGGTGTCGGCTGCAGAAATGATTTTTTTCTTGTTTCTTTGAAATCAGGGAACCATTGGGCTAAAAGGAGACCGTGGCCCACCAGGATCAACTGGTTTCCCAGGACCCCGAGGAGAGAGGGGTTTTCCTGGTCCTCAAGGAATTGGGCCTTCTGGACCTCCTGGTGATAAAGGAGACATAGGAATTTCAGGGATCCCGGGCACTCCTGGACTTCCAGGTATCATTACTAATAATTGGCAGACAGATTGTGGTGCTTTGTTTACTACTGTGCGGCGCTCCAGTTGTTTGGGCCCCCAACTCCCAGAAGCCCTAATGAGCTTGTCCAATGGCCAGGAATTCTGTGAGCCGAAGTTCAAAACACCTGGAGGGTCACAAGTTTGACACCACTGATATAGAAGGTTAGTATACACCAAGAAGGTTACTATACACCAAGAGTGGAATTTCTGCAATGGAAACATATACACAGAATTTAAAATTAAGTTAAAAAAATGGCAGAAAAATTAGAATACAATTGTTCATGCAATATAATGATCACATGAGTTCTCTGAGATTCGAAGGACATTTCTGTGCAAATAGGCCTTCCATCATATCTAGGTCCAGAAACAGATAAAAGGCCTCCCTCCCTCCCCACAGCTACGGTTGTGGCCTTGGAGAGAAGAAGAAACAGGCACAATTCCATCATGTCTGGCCCCAGAAGAAGATAAAAGACCATCCCTCCATTCCAGTTAACACTGCTGTGGTCATAATCATGTCTTTAAATCACTTTATAAAGTTGTAAGGGGGTTGTTTTGTTATTTTAGTTATTATGAAGTACTATGTAAGCTAATGGTGCTACATAACTAGATAATGACAAATGACCATATCGGAAATAAGGAATCCAGTGTGATTGAAAGCTAAATTTATTTAAGTTTATAATTTATTTAAGTTTATACACTCTTACAATTTGTAAATGTTCATATTTAGATGGGGAAAAGTTTTCCAAGTTACTTTAATATGTGGAAATAAAGTATTTCAAGAGACAGGTTCATATCTTTTTTTCCTTTTTTCTGTTTTTTTTCTCTTTTTTGTTTTTTACTTATTTCGGTTTTTCTTTGGTGTCGGTTTTGTTTTCTGTATGCAAACCAATAAAAAAAATTTTTAAAAAGAGAGACAGGTTCAAATGGTTGCATTCAGTAATGCATACCAACACATTCACCAGAGTGCCATAACTTAGCTAGATATTCAACTGCGTTGTCCACAAGTACAGCAAGATGGAAGCAAATCCACCTCAAGGGCAGAGATGCAAACATGTTTCAAAAATTCTGAGTTACAGTAAGATGTTTTGCATTTTGGAACTTCTTATGAAAAGAAAAAACATGTGCAAACGATACTTTTTTCTGAGGAAAGCCATTTTTTGTAGAGTTTATTTCAAGAAATCCTATAATCCTATCACAATCTCACTCAACATGGAAGAAACATTTGAAATGCATTGCTGAAGCTTCCCTGATTGTGAGTCTATTCAGCTGGAATTCTATCCTGCTCTTTCCGTACTGCTTTCTACCTTGCAAACATTGTTTTCTCGTGTCTTTTCACAACGTGGCCAAAATACAATGGGATCAGTTTAGTCATATTTGCTTCTAGGGGAGGGTTCAGACTTGGCTTGCTTTAAGATGATCCTAATTTTAGTACTGAATGAGAATATGTAGTGCTGATCATATTGAAGATGAACAAAATACAATGTGGCAAATACGTTGTCATTAGCTAGATTTAGAAGCTATTCATAGAACTGCAATTGTATAAATATTTATTTGGAAATAATTATATGCAATAGGACGAAGATATATAGGATTAAATTCAATCATGTCCAAATTTTCTTTTGAGTTCTAGGGGAATTGCCTTCAGAAATCAAGACATAAGAATGCTGCCTAAGTTACTCTTCTCCTGAAATACAGAAGCTCCTTTCTGTTTCATTAATCAAATGTAGCATCAAGAAATACAACCTTCATTCTGAAAAACAACTGAATCAAGAATAAATGCTTGTTAATATGTTATATCTTTTCCTTCCATTACAAGGACCCAAAGGTGAAGCTGGACGTGTTATTTCTCTGCCTGGTACCCCAGGAGCAGATGGTGTGCCTGGACCTCCTGGATTTCCGGGCATCCAAGGTACTTTTTCACATTAATGGTGGACGTGCTCCGTATTGTCATAATTCCCCCAGAATTATGGATATGCATAATAATTAATAATTAATTATGGATTCCCTGGTGGCACAGCAGGTTAAATTGCTGAACTTGCTGACCAAAACGTTGACTGTTCAAATCCAGGAAGTGGGTGAGCTCCTGCTCTTAGGCCCAGCTTCTGCCAACCTAGCAGTTCAAAAACATGCAAATGTGAGTAGATCAATAGGTACCACTTCTGTGGGAAGCTAACGGCGCTCCATGCAGTCATGCTGGCCATATGAACTTGGAGGCATCTTCAGACAACACTGGCTCTTCAGCTTAGAAATGGAGATGAGCACCATCCCCCAGAGTCGGATACAACTGAACTTAACGCCAAGAGGAAACCTTTACATTAAACTTGACTTATTTTGTACAGGTGACAAGGGTGATCCCGGCATCACAGGAAGGCCTGGCCCGCCAGGTGAAAAGGGTCTGACAGGACCTCCAGGAATAGGGTTTCCTGGGCTTCCAGGACCTAAAGGTACAATATAATTTACAATTTAAAGTGACTGATCATTTAAAGATGATACCTTGGTCTAGGGAAGTTTGAAACTTGCATATCTTGTCATTTGTAAGTGGCAGGATCGCAGACAAAATACCCAAAATATTTTTATTACATTCATCAAAATTCCAGTGAAATCCTGTTCATAATCCCACCTAGAGTACACATATTCACTGTTGTTGTTGAAAGGTGAGTCAACACTGGCAAATCTAGTCAAGTGACAATAAGGTTTAGATCAGCAGTGTTCATTCAGCCTTTTAGTTTCCCTGAACCACATTGGAAGAAGAATTGGGCCTCACATAAAATGCACTTACACTTAAAATAGCTGATGAGCAAAAATATATAGATATTTCCATGCATAATTTTTGTGATATCTGCCACCACAGATAAGCAAAAAACAGTGCTTGCATAATTATAATAATTATGCACCATCCCATTTGGAGGATCTTTTAAAATCATTTATCAGGTCTTCTGGCTGAACTATTCACAATTATAATGTGAATTACAGATACTACTCCAACATGTAACATACTCTGAGGGTTTGGGTTACTAACAACTGGAAGTACAAACAACTGGTGTCACTGCTGCTGTCCCTAAGACAGCAGTATCGCCCTTCAGTATTGCTCTTGCTTGGTAGCTATTTGAAACATTCAGTTTTTCTCCTCAGCAAAAATCCATCTGACATGGGAGTCCTCACCAGTAGCACTGTTGCTCTCAGAATGGCCTCTGCCTCACAGGAGCATGGCTTCTCAAATAGACATATTCCATGTTTGAAAATAGTTTATGAGGCTTCTGGCTTAGCTTCAGAGATTTATTATTTCCAGTATCATTTCATTATTAGCATCAAAAATTACATTTACATGTCTTTGGCTACAAACTAGAATCCACAACATGCGAGTGTGGAGAAGAGCAAACTGCAGACCACCTGCTGCAATGCAACCTGAGCCCTACCACATGCACAATGGAGGACCTTCTTGCAGCAACACCTGAGGCACTCCCAAGTGACCAGATACTGGTCAAAGGACATTTAATAGAATACCAAGTCTGCAAACTTTGTATTTTGTTTGTTTGATTGTCTGTTTTTTTAAAATGCAATACAACTGTTTTGGTTCGCTCCTGACACGATAAATAAATGTCTTTGGTTTTGTAGGTTTCCCAGGACAGCCAGGTCCACCGGGTTTACCTGGGGAGAAAGGAAACGCTGGTTCCCAAGGATTACCAGGTATATCAGGACTACCAGGCCAAAAAGTAAGTGGAAGCAGCTTAAGCTAACTTTGAATAACTTTAGCTATGTTGCTGACAAAAATGTTAGTTCAAGGTGGAGAATGCATACATTCATTAGTTTATCATTTTCCTAATATTTTATATTTCATCCAACTTTGTCATCAGTTGATGAGAGAAAAGAATAAAGACAACTAAAGATGTTGTATGCATTCCTTCCAATATGTACATTTTGGAGGCAATTTCCCCTTATAAATTTGTTTCATTTAGTTCATTGCATTTTTATACATTTTATCTGATAATTTTGCACATATTCTTCTGGTACAAAAGCACTGCAAAATTTGGAGTGTTATAAAAACTTTTATTTTAAGCTTTCATTTTTATTTGGATATTGTGGAAAGGGATGTTCATTTAAAAATGTGAAATAAGTGGATTTCATCCCCATCTTTTGATCACTATCATCATCATTTGACTACTGGGAACTCCAACAACGTTTCTGGTTGTAAACCCACACAATAACTGTAGCATTAGTACACAGCTAACACGCTGTATGAAACATGTATTTCAGAACCATAATAGGCATAAAAACATGGTAGAATCTAAGCATAGGATCCTGACACAGCGATGGCACTTGACAGAGCGAAGATTTTGGAAAGAGGGCACAAACATATTGAAAAAGTTGGATACAGTCCAACATTGGTAGGGAAATGACTACCATGTTTAAATGAACTAAATATCTATATCCAGATATTTGACTTTTTTTTACTAACCTTTCCTTTTGTCTGTATTTTCTAACCCTTTTCATTTTCCTGTCACTATTTCTCCTTTCTGCTGTCACTACACAGCATTCCTTGGACTTTTGTCAAACTTTTATTCTCTCCAAAAACGTTTCTCCACTTCACTGACCAAGTAAGTTACCAACATTCTTTGGCTTACAGTTTCATTGAGACATTCAAAGAGTCATTCTTTTCCCATTGCATCAAAGCAGCTCAAAAAGTGATTTGAAGAGGATAATAATGTTGTTTTGTTTGTGTTGATTGGATGGCAACAACAATAACAATACCAACAACATTTTTATTCATGATAAGGGTGAACCAGGACTAGGTCTCCCGGGTCCCAAAGGCTTGCCTGGTCCACAAGGACAAGATGGTTTCCCCGGAGCAAAAGGTGACCAAGGATTTCCTGGCCAACCTGGAGAAAAAGGATTTCCAGGTGTGCCTGGCCAACCAGGTTTGCAAGGTAAGCTTTTTGCAATTCCTAGCTACAATTATAATAATCCAGCATATTTTCTGTGTGAAAAAATAATTTAAAAATTTAGTAGTCAAATATTAGCTTTTTCTTCAGGAGTCCCCGGTGGCGCAGTGGGTTAAACCCCTGTGCCGGCAGGACCTGAAGACCGACAGGTCACATGTTCGAATCCGGGGAGAAGTGGATGAGCTTCCTCTATCAGCTCCAGCTCCTCATGCGGGGACATGCGAGAAGCCTCCCACAAGGATGATAAAAACATCAAATCATTCGGGCGTCCCCTGGGCAACGTCCTTGCAGACGGCCAATTCTCTCACACCAGAAGTGACTTGCAGTTGCTCAAGTCGCTCCTGACATAACAAACAAAAAAAAAGCTTTTTCTTCCTCTAATTTCCATGTGAATCTTAATTAGTAAAGGTTTTTCACCCTCTCTTCATCTTATTTTATCTTCTTTTCATGAAAATCTGTCTTCTCAAAGCATAACTAGAGATGTGAACCAATCTGATGCACTCTGAGGCACGTCTCGATGAGCTAAATTCAGCTTACTCCCAAAAAAGTGTTTAGAAAATTGTAACCTTAGCCAAGTTGAGAGCATATGCAGTATTTCACACTACGAAGAGCAAAATGATAAATAATCGTCAACATTAGTGTCATACAAGTTGACACATTGCTGTTTTTCATTTTTCTGCTTAGGTGATCCTGGTAGTGCTGGATTGCCAGGTCTACAGGGCTCCCCCGGCGTCCCAGGAATTGGACCCCCTGGGCCCCCTGGGCCTCTAGGACCATCAGGCCCTCCAGGACCCACAGGTAACTTGTTCATTCAGGATTTGTTTGCACCTATGTTTATGTTTGCACACAAAATATGTGATCAAAGATGCACTGAAACCATCTTCATTCAGCTCAATTTGTATTGTCTAGTTCGATGTTTTAAGGAACAGCACAGATTTAGATGATTTGTCCAGAAATCAAGCATATTTTCGAACTTTTTCAGTGCAGATGTATAAGGTCTACTGAGAAGTAAGACATTAGTCCACTGTAAGTGGCTATATGGTTGCAGAATTAGCATCCTTTCTTCTAAAATCTGACATTTATTTTGGCACATGTTTAATGAAAATTAAAGCTTTGTTTCATTATTTGTTTGAATGTTTTTCCCTTTTTGGCATCGAATGTTTTGCCATAAATGTTGGAAACCACCCTGAGCCCCTTTGGGGAGATAGGGCGGTCTACAAATAAATGATGATTATGATTATGGTTATTACTGCCAAACACTAAATGTCTGTAGATTTTTTATGTAAAAAATTATTGCAGTATTATAAAGATCATTATTTTATTATCAGTAGTTTTATCATAAACAATTAAGGAAGAAAACAACTAAAATCCATAGAAAAGAGTGATTACTCTCAATGTAGATATTATTTCCCTAGTTTTTAGAAGCATAATAGCACAGTATGACACTTGTATTCATGGAGTGCATATTCTAAACCATGAATAATAGAGTTCCCTATTGATATGAAGGATTTCTGGACCACGAATACCACAGACTTGTGGTGAAGGATCTAAAAAATGAGAGGACATATTTTATAAGGTGTGGATATCTGGAATCACAGATGCCAGTTCCATGGATCTGAGAGTCATACTGTACATGTGTTATGAATAATTAACCGTTTGAGCATTTTGTTTTCAAAATCTACTTCATCACTTTCCTTTTAATCACTTCAGGGGTATCAGGAATAAAAGGAGAAAGGGGCTATCCAGGTGTCCCTGGGCTGGATATGCCAGGGCCAAAAGGAGATAAAGGTGGCCAAGGACCACCAGGGCTACCAGGACTGCAAGGGGTGCGAGGGCTACCTGGTGGACAAGGACAAGAAGGGAGACCAGGCATTCCAGGTATGCATTTATCTTCTAGTAATTCATCATTGTTCCTTGTCCTATAGGTTATTTGTAAAATATGTTTTTTTCCCATTCATAAGGATACAAACAATATCATGAGCAAGGACGTAAAGGCAGTGGTGTGAAGTGTGTTTGCTTCCCTTTTATTCTGTATCGCCTCCTTGGCTACAACAGAAGAAAGGTTAGAATTGTGCGCCTGATAAGTGTTAGCATTCTGATTGTTGTAGGTTTGTTCGGGCTATATGGCCATGTTCTAGAGGCATTCTCTCCTGACGTTTCGCCTGCATCTATGGCAAGCATCCTCAGAGGTAGTGAGGTAGTATTCTGTCAATAAACAAAAATCTTGAGGCTAAAGAGCCGTTAGGATACCTCAAAAACAAAGAAAAAGCATTTTAAGCTGCAAAAAAAAAAAACACAATGCACACAAGGCCAGTAACACTCAAATGTTTCCATGCTTTCTAGGTATTGGTGTTGCTGATTTTCTGAATTTCTGTTTTCAACCAGGCATGCTTGAACCTCAAAATATATTGTAGGCCAATTATATGGGTAATTACAGCTTTCAATTTGATTTCAGGAATCAAAGGTGAAATGGGAGTTATGGGAACCCCTGGATTTCAGGGTCCTACAGGCCCTATAGGATCCAGTGGACCTCCAGGTGAAAAAGGTGAGAATTCTACCCTCTTTTCCATTTTTCAACTGACATTCAGCATATAGGGTTGTTAAGGTGCTCAGTATTCACTGAATTGCAGGAGAGAAGGTTTGCCTTTTATGGTTTCAAGTATGGTTATTTACTTCTGCTAGGCTTTTGAAGTGTAAGTATGCTTTTATATCGTTATAAATGATGGAGGAAGAATATCATATGGTTCATTTTCAAATTTATGCTGTGCCTTGTACTTTGTTGTGAGTGTTTAGGTGGTGAAAAAGTGGGAAGAAGCTTATTTTGTACTACAAACTAGCAATGGGTAGCATTCGTATTTTTCTAAGTAATCAGTAGTAAGAAACCATGGACAAAAGTTTGGGAGAGGACACACATTAAACTATGAATGCAACTTGTTATTTTCGAAATATGATGGGCAATTGGTAATGTTTGTGGGGGTACATTGGGAGGCTGGAACTCCCCCATTAACCTCTCCAACCCCCTCAAAATATTTTACTCCAAACAGCCAGTCCTCTGAGAGTGCATTGCTGGCCATTCTGCCATGTTTTTAGATATTTTGTATTGCCCTCTTTTTTTACACTGGTAAAGCTTTCTTTACTGAAGTAAGTTTTTTTAAAAAACCAGGGAGAGATTGAATAATCAGCTCCATTAACCTCCCTTTTTGATGAGTATCCTGTATAGACTGAAAGAAGACCTCTACCAGTCAAAAATAGGTGATGAAGGGTCCTAGATCCACCCAAATGTGATGACATTAGGAAATAACTCTGTGGGTTTACAGATCCTTGGAGTTTGAAAGAAAATAGAAAAAGAAAACTTTGGTCTTACATGAAGTCCACTGGCCACATTTTTCCCACCACAGTTTTTTAAAAAGTCTGAATGTTACTGTTTATATATGTGGTTTCATGTATTTATATTAGCATAATTAGATTTGAAAGTATCATACCAAACCTTTGTGAAAATGGCTTGACTCATGAAGTTTTCTTGGGTTTCTGTTATTTGGCTCTGCATATTTTTTACAGGTGACATAGGCTTTCCTGGAGCATCTGGACTCAGAGGTGATCCTGGATTAAAAGGCGAGAAGGGTGAAGATGGTTTACCAGGAAAGCCAGGATCAATGGATCACGTAGACATGGAAAATATGAAAGGCCAAAAGGGGGACCAAGGAGATAGAGGTAAGCAAAATTAAGTAACGTGTACAGCTTGTTCATAGGACCTCCTAAGTGTGAATTGTAATCATTTCTAAATCAAAGCAGGAGTAAATCCACCATCCACATGTGTTCTGGGATCAGGCCTTCGGACAATAGATGTATGCAGCTTTTTAGAGGGACAAGGACAGGAACGGCGACTTGACTGATGAGATTGTTTTATGGTTTTAATGGTTGTTTTGATGCTTGGTGATGTACTGTTTAATATTATTTATGTCTAATGTGTGGTTTTACTATTGTAGTTTTAAGGCATTGAATTTTGCCATTATCTATGTGTAAACCACTTTGAGTCCCTCTCGGGGTGAGAAAAGCGGTATATAAGTACTGTAAATAAATCAATAAATGACATGTATTTAAATTACAACTTCAGTCCTCAGTTTGCTTTGCAAACTAATTGGATTCCAAGCTTTCCTGTAGAACAGTGGTTCTCAACCTGGGGTCCCCAGATGTTTTTGACCTTCAACTCCCAGAAATCCTAACAGCTAGTAAACTGGCTGGGATTTCTGGGAGTTGTAGGCCAAAAACATCTGGGGACCACAGGTTGAGAACCACTGCTGTAGAATATTAAAACAGAGCATAAACTTGTGAAGATGAATAAGCATTTGACCAAATCCTAGTTTCTGCCAGAATCATGTCTTTTTTCTTCATCACTACTGGCCCACCTACCTTGGCAAATGCAACTGGGGATGGTTAGTGATGATAAGGTTTACTTGATAAGTCCATCCACTCAGCTCCTGCACTTGACATTTTAGTTACTAGAGTTAGTTGAAGTTCCTTTGGGGACTGGCTCTTAAGTGTACTGTCCAGACTGGGAACCTAGGGAATTCTTGAACTTTAGTTCAAGGTTTAAATGGTTTTTTAAAATAGTAGGGCAAATGTTGTCGATGATAATAATAATCATTATTTGTTTAAAATTTATTTCCTTCAAAAGCAGCTTTTAAATCAAGTCCCCAGGTGTCAGGGCCTATTTTCTCTCCTCCAGTCTGCAGGGAAAGGGGGAAAATCTGAGGCCTTGGAAGTGTTTTCCCTTCTTTTTGTTTTTAACCATGCATTGTATGTTTCTGTTCCCTACTAATATAAAGCTGCACCTATGTGGTTGCCTGTATCTTCACTACCACTCAGTTTCTCCAACCATGGCAGACACCATAACTCAGCAAGAACATTTAATATGGAGAAATATTGGGTGGCCTCAGTATTCATCACCTGAGGAATCACTGATATGATACTACAGGGCTACTGATTTCTGTGTGTCCCATCCCATTGTTGATTTTTGCTGTTCTTTCCCTGCCACTCTCATCTTGCCTAAAATGCCAGTGCATTTTCCTTTTTCTTTTGGTCTGAGGCACATCGTTAGTGCAATATCCTGCTATAAATAACTTTCTTTTAAGCCCAATTTGGTCATAATTCCTTTCTCTTTAAGATGTTGATTTCATTCTTTTCTCCATTCTACCCCCTGCACTCCTAGCTTGAAATTATTATTGCCTGGGTCCATTTGCTAGTAAGAAAACAGTACAAAAGCATGTGTATATGTCATATGATGTGGAGTTCAGCATTAATGGTGAAAGTGAGTTTTTAGGGTTAAACCACAAGGCAGTCTAGTATAACTTGCATCCTGCACTCTGTGTATATTGATACATCAACCACTTGTCACATGTCCAGTGTGCTTTTTCACCCCTTTGCTGTGCATAACTTCAGATGTGGTGGAACACTGAACCATGACATGAACCAAAATGCTTATGCTTCCAGGGCAACCAGGACAAACTGGACAGAGAGGAACCCCAGGAGACACTGGTTCACCGGGAATGCCAGGCAAAGACGGGGATCCTGGCTTACCTGGCGAAGCAGGTATTATAGCCTTTAATTTTGCTCCCACCTATAATAAATTATGGGCATTTTGTTATGATACATACTAATGAGCTGTAATGTTTAATCTGTTTTTTTTTAACAGGACCAAAGGGGGATGCAGGCTCACCAGGATATCAGGGTGAACCCGGACTTCCTGGACAAAAGGGGTCTATAGGAGAAATGGGTCTGCCAGGTAATACTCCATCTAGAACATTGGCAACTTGGGGTTTTCCATTGACTAGCCATGCATTTTCTATTATGCAAATATTAATAATCCATTTCTTTTTCACTTAAAGAATAATACAGTATACCAACATTTGAACTCTTATTTCCAGGGCTATCAGGAGAAAAGGGTGTGCAGGGACTTCCAGGTGAAGCAGGTAGACCAGGCATTACTGGAGAGAAAGGTCTAAAAGGCGAGAAAGGTCAAGCTGGATTCCCAGGAATTGGCTTCCCTGGGGCACCTGGCGAAAAGGTATCCATCAACGTCCATGTACCCCATCATATGTTCTAAATTATGTTTTTTAACATTGATTTGCTAAAGCATCTGTTTCAAAAGATGAGGGATTTAATTTGAGAAGTATGGAAAGCTATCTTGTGCTAAGTCATACCATTGTTTTGGAGAAACCACTGGTAGACTCACTTTGTATGCAATTGCAATGTAAAGTATAGCTGGACTTTAAAAGTAACCCTTAAAATAGAAAGTTGTTATGATTTTAGGATGCACGTTGCAAATATCATTGAAAGTATGATTACTCCCATTATCTTACAGGGAGAGCCAGGATGGACCGGTAGTCCAGGTTTACCTGGAGAAAAAGGGGAAAAAGGTGCCCTCGGAATTGCAGGAATCCCTGGGTCTCCGGGTACCAAAGGGCAGCCAGGTTTGCCTGGTTCTCCAGGTAAGAGTCCCAAAGCATCCCCCAGTGCTGTCCAGCCTAGTGCTTAGGCAACAAATATTAACCTTGTGCTCTTTTTTGAAAAGGTTCTCCAGGAACGCCTGGCGAAAAAGGTGAACAAGGATTCCCAGGTGTACCTGGTTTTCCAGGCTTAAAAGGCCAAACAGGTAAAGAAACCGTTATGAATATGTCAGAAATGCTCCTTCAGCCCTAATTTTGAAAGAAACATAACATGTAATTTCTGTGGTTCACATAACATCTTTTTATAAATAAAATGACATGATTTTAAAATTAAAACATGGCAGTAGTTTGAAAAGTAAAGCCATGTACAACAACTTTACTATAGTAGGTTTAGAAATAACAAAACATAGTCTCGTTAATTAGAAATATTGTAAGTTATCCATTAAACCCTAAGGTGTTTTTGTTTTAGTTTGTTTTTTGCAGTAACTGACATTTTACTTCATTGCTGTGTTACGAGCTACAGTGAGGTTTTTAAAAAATACTCTGTGGATTGTCGCCATTCGATAGCAATCTTAGTAAATATAGAAGTAAGTTCTATATTTGTTGTGTGAATTCCTTAACATCATTTCAAGAGATGCAAATATCCTTTTACAGGAGACACTGGCCCCCAAGGTGCAGCAGGCCTTCCTGGAGAAAGGGGTACAGCAGGTTATGATGGAATCCCAGGCTCACCTGGACCAAAGGGAGACCCAGGTAAGCATTTTGCTCTCCCGTTTTTTGGTTTTGTTGTTGTTGTTTGCTATAGTAGAAAGTGCTTCCTGCAATTGTCTGACTGGAAACACTTAACTAATTTGAATTTTGAAATATTTCTTAAGGGTTTAAAAATGCATATTTTCCACATGCTTAGCTCCATCAGTACCTCAAGGAGAGGGAAAATATTTCAAGAAATTGATCTCTTAAATTTATGCTAAATTTATCCCAGTGCTTCTTTGAGCTTCTTCATCATCTCCCCTTGTGTGCCTTTTACCACATGTATCTAGCAAAAAAATAACCCATAGCAACAGACTCTTTTGCTTACTCTACGAAAAAGCATGCACAGTGATGGCAGTGTATAATGTGTACACATTCTAATACATACCAGTAATAACCAACACAATTTATGTATTTAATATTTATTATATTTATTTACTCCCCGCTTTATCTCTCCCAGAGGAGAGTCAAGGCAGCTTAACATAAAAGTACGTGCATACAATTTAAAATATACAAATATACAAATGTTAAAACATAATTAAATATAAACAGTATTTTAAAGTTCCGTTGTTAAAAACCATTAAAACATATTCAAAGTTAAAAACCACAGTACCTCCTGAATTGATCTTTAAAACATTCATCTTTAAAAGCCTGCCTGAATAAGAAGGTTTTAGCCTGCTGCCAGAAGGACATTCTGGCTTCCCTGGGAAGAAGGGAGTTCCAGAGTTGAGGGACAGCCACCAAGAAGGAAGGCCTGCTCTCTCGTTCCCACCAACCAAACTTCGGATGGAGGTGGGACTGAGAGAAGGGCCTCTCCTGATGATCTCAGGGCTCAGGCACGTTCATACAAGAGGATGTAGTTGGTCAAATAGCCTGGACCTGGACCATATAGGGCTTTAAAGGTCATAACCAGCATTTTGAATTGTGCCTGGAAATGAAGAGATGAATCTGAAAAGTGCATGATATTTACATGTGATGGAGAAAGACAACAAAGGGTAGTGAGGGTGTAGAGGTGAGATGAATAAAATGAATGTGAACAATTACATCTACATGGGCTGGATATAAGAAATGGGACTAAGGAACCATGTGATATTCAAGAACATTGGATTAATTGTGATTGTTTCTGTTCCTGTATGAACGGTGAAGTCACAGAAGACTCCTTTGTAGGTCTAGACCAGGCATGGGCAAACTTAGCCCCTCCAGGTGTTTRGGACTTCGACTCCCACAATTCCTAACAGCCTACTGGAGTTGAAGTTCAAAACATCTGGAGGGCTGAAGTTTGCCCATGCCTGGTCTAGACCATGTGTCATGCCTAGAGATTGATTAGAAGGCCTTTCTGAGGTTTTCTTTTGGTTTTTTTTCCTCCCAATTTTTTCATCCCCCCCCCCCCCAGTTTTTCTGGGTTTTTTTTCCAGACCTTCCTATCTCTAGTCAGGCCACGTGACTGTGTATAACAAATCAGTTATAATTCTAATGTCTGCATGGCCCCTGAATTGACACTTATTGAGTATAGAAGTAGGTTTTGGAGTAGTTTGAAGGAAGGGAGAAGGTTTTTGTCCTAGGAGTACACGCCCTTTGTATGATGGTCAGTCTATCACCTGTCTCTCTACGAGTTCTCACTCACAAATAATTCTGCTCCTTTATCTCACCCTGAGTTTTTAAATCATTTTATGTGCATGTGGCCCGCTCACTGTCATTATGTTTGGTTTACTGCTTTTGTTTTGTATTTTGTTTATTGTAGTCATATGTTCTGTGTTTTACTGCGACGTTTATTTTATTGTAACTTGTATCTTATTTTATTGTAATTTGTTGTTTGGGCTTGGCCTCATGTAAGCCGCCCTGAGTCCCTGTTGGGGAGATGGTGGCAGGGTATAAATAAAGATGATGATGATGATGATGATTATTATTATTATTATGGCACTTCTATATAGGCAGAAAATGTAGCCCCAAGCCTGTGTGAAACACCAGTTTGCCCCCACTCCCACTCCAAGACAGAAACATACTGGTTTTGGCACATTATGGATGGATAAGAAATCTATCAACCACCTCTCCAGTGGGACAACAGACCCACAGCCTAGCTCTGCTGAAGCCGGTTTGAGTTTCTATTCCCTGTCCATTCCCCACCCCAAAAGACAGTACTTACCTGATCTCCTGCCTGTTTACTTCCTGATTTGTCCCTGCCATGTGTCTGAGTAAGGCAGCTTAGGAGGAGTGAGATTCTCCCACTCCTCTCAAGCTGTCTTGCTCAGTCACATGGCAGCAGCCAGGTGTCTTTTTGGGGTGCAGCGGGAAGGAGGGACAACCCCTCCCCATCTCCCCATGCTGCCTGAGTCCGGGTAAAACACATTGGCTCTGGGGATGCCAATCCTGAATCCCGCATAAGAATCCAGGATTGGTTTCTCCACTGTCCCAAGACAGAGGAAGGTCTGAAACCTGTTTCTTCACCCAAGCTCCAGGAGCATTAAGCAGCATACCCTGGGTTAACTCACATTGGCCTGTGTGCATTATGTGAGAAAAAAATTCAAGATTATTGTTTATTTTTTTACTATGCAAATCCACCATCAGAAGCTTGATCAAGCCTTGGCAATTGCACATTTTAGTACATTTTTATTTTAATAATTGTTGTTCTCTGTTTTGTTATCTTCACCATTTAGGGATCCCAGGTAGAGGACTTCCTGGACTTCCTGGTGCTAAAGGAGACAGAGGTAATCATAGAATATTAAATGCAAAGTGAGTAGAGTTGAATGAAAAGAAAATGGTGTGAAAGAGTGCAAATGGAAATTATGTGTCATTTTGTAAGGTTAAAATTCAGAATGCATTCATAGGTCAATAATGATAGAATAATGAACATGTTAGTACTCAATAAAGTAGTTATAATAAAGGGATATCTGAGGAAGATGAATCATGAAAAAGCTTCTGCAAGAGCAGAGTTCTAAATATGAGATTTAGGTAAATAAAAATCATTGCTAAAGTAGTATTTGTATATTAATGCCCAAAAGGGAAATGGCAGCAGAATAAAAAAAAATCAGAAGGCAGACTTGAAGGGCAATTTAGGACAAGGTGGTGTTTAAGGACTCCAACAGTATTTTCTCCCAACTCACCCAATTTTGTGTTTTATCTAACTAAAAAGTGATTCTTTTTCATTCTTAGGTGCAAAAGGAGATGTGGGTTTCCCAGGAGCCCCGGGAAGTCCAGGGATCCTTGGTGTCAAAGGAGAACCAGGATTTGATGGTCCACAGGGTCCCCCAGGCCAACCAGGAATTCCTGGATTACCAGGCAGAGCTGGAGCGGGGCCAAAGGGTGACCGGGGACCTCAAGGTCGACCTGGCCTGCAAGGTAAGCATAGGCATAGATGATTTAACATTTGTAAAAAAGTATAATGATGCTTGGAGTGACAGTTACTTTTAAATCAGCCTGACTTTATTATGCATTCCTTTACATCAAGTGGGCGGAGGGTCCCTACTTCATGGATTTTCATTTATTGCAGATGGTCCTGGAACGGAACACCTGCAATAAATGAGGGAACACTGTAACAACAACAATAATGATGGTGATGATGCTTTTAAACTATGCAAAACAGTTTTCTTGAGGCCCAGCTGGGGAGGAACTGAAAAGTAGAACTTTATCTACCGGCACAAGGGTTTAATCCAGTAGCACAATGGGTTAATACTTGTGCAAGGAGGACTGCTGACCAAGTGGGGTGAGCTCCTGTCTCGCAGCTCCAGCTTCCCATGCGGAGACATGAGAGAAGCCACCCATAGGATGGTAAAACATCTGGGCTTCCCCATGGCAACATCCTTGCAGACAGCCAATTTTCTCACACCAAAAGTGACTTGCAGTTTCTCAAGTCACTCCTGACATGAAAAAAAAATCTTATTATAAATACTTACATAAACTGCATATGTGGTAGTATACCTTTATTCTGCAAACCCCATAATGTGACTGCATGGTAAATTTTGTTTCCCATGTAATAACTTTTTCCATGTTAAAAGATGTTGTTTTACTTGTGTACTATCTTTTCCACAAGATAGTACACAATTCTGAACAGTCATATCCATATTATTTATTTTGAGCATTATAATTGTTCCTAATACTGGTGTATAGGTATAACTGGGAATTATTTTGGCATATAGATCATCTATATTCTAAAACAAATATTGTCAATGAATGGTATTTCCATTTCTATTTTAGGGTTTCCTGGGCCTCAAGGACCTCCAGGTGTTCCAGGGCTATCAGGGGAGAAAGGAGAAACAGGACTTCCAGGTTTCCCAGGACCAGCTGGAAGACCTGGATTGAAAGGAGATCAGGGAACTCAAGGAATCCCAGTAAGTTAATTTAAAGAATGTGAAGGCAGCATGCAATGGTCTCATTGCACAATATGCAGTGATTTTGAATTTATTTTATTTTCATTTAATGCCTGCAGATATAGCCTTTTTGTGAGACAGGCTCTTTGGAGATGCAAAGCATTCTCTTCTTAGAATACTGCATCTTTCTTCAAACATATTTAGTGCTGTTCAGTAGAAAAAAGACCTTGTACAGCATGACAGTTCTTTGTTTTCTTGGGAATTACCTGATCCCTTTTTTTTTTGTTTTACACTATCCACATCTACCCACCATCTGTTTTCAAGAGTTTCACGAAAGACATTCCTGACTTCTAGAGCAGGTTTCCTCAAACTTTGGTCCTCCAGGTATTTTGGACTTCAGCTCTAAGGATTCAAACGCCTATTTTTTAAAAAAGTAGCATACCACCTGTTACCAATGAAAACATTGGGATTAGTTCTGTTGAAGATATTCCCTGTAGTGTTTATTCCATTTTCTTTCTGGTTCCTGCAAAAAGAAGAAAGATCTCAGAGCCATCCTCCTTAACAAATGGCTCAATAGACATGTGCCAAAACCATCTGAAAAAGAAATGCCTCAGTTAATTCTAGGGGCCATATTGAAAAGGGGATCCTTGATATCATTTGCCTTAACAGAAGTTTTACTTCATATTCTAGTCCAGTCTAAACAAGCCATTCAAAGTTTCTAAGATTTTTTTTACACTGCCAGGCTTCAAATATTTGGACATTCCTTTTGTTTAATTTCCTCATTGGACAATTGCCGTATTTATGAGTGATATTTAGGAATTCCCAAATAGACTTCTGACATGCTTCATCTACCGGCTGTTTCAACAGACTTTGCAATTTTATTTCAGAAGCTTATTTCACCTGCAGCAGGGAAATATCTTTGTTGAAACCCCTATCCATGTTGACTCCAAATCCTTAAGCTCCCATCCCTTCCAATGCCCTTTAATTCTTAAGATCCTTCCCTGGATCTGACACTCAAGGTTCAAGGTGATCATCATATTGGACTAGTGGATGTATTACTTGTTGGGTTCAATGAAGTAAAACCTGACTAGTGTTCCTTCTTATTTATTAAATTGAAACCTCCATTCAGAGATATCTATATAAATAAAAATGTAATGTTTGTTTGTGGGATTAACATAACTCAAAAACCACTGGACAAACTGACACCAAATTTGGACACAATACACCTATCAGGCCAACGGGTGACCTTCACTCATAAAAAGACTGAAAAACACAGCAGAAGGGACATAAAAGCCAAAAAAAATTACATTACAATGCATGAACAAAACCACATATATACACAAATATATGCACACACATGCAAAACACATATAAACAGACTGGGCCACAGCAACGCGTGGCAGGGGACAGCTAGTAGAAAATAAAACAGTAAACCAATAAATAATCAATAAAATAAACATCTGGTGTTGTGCTGGTCCTACACGCAATATATAGTAATACCTCTGTTTCAAACAAAATGACACTTCCCCCTGCTTCCCCCCCCCCCCAGTTAATTCACCAAACCTCTGTTTTGATTTCCATTCAACCCTTTTTTGTGCATGTCAGAAGCAACTTGAGAAACTGCAAGTCGCTTCTGGTGTGAGAGAATTAGCCATCTGCAAGGACGTTAGCCAGGAGACACCTCGATGTTTTACCATCCTGTGGGTGGCTTCTCTCATGTCCCTGCAAGGGAAGCTGGAGCTGACAAATGGGAGCTCACCCCATCTTGAATAGACTGACAGGGATCCTACTGACCTTTTTCTCGGGACTGGATTAGGAAGTTGATGCCCTTTTTAAAGCATTTTATTAACATGTTCTTCATTGCTGCTGGACTCAGAGGAAAGTGACATCCTGAAGCAGATGGCCCAGCCTACTGTAGCAAATGGGAGGAGTTAACCTTGAATGAATAATTTCCACAATGGAAATCCTGCCAGAGTGTGGTTCACCTGGACTGGAAACCCAATCAACAGCTGATCATTTATAGCAGTGGTTCTCAACGTGTGTGTCCCCAGATGTTTTGGCCTTCAGCTCCCAGAAATCCTAACAGCTGGTAAACTGACTGGGATTTCTGGGAGTTGTAGGCCAAAACACCTGAGGACCCACAGGTTGAGAACCACTGACTTATAGTAATTGCTACAACTTTGCTGTACCATCTTTCTCTGATGTGGCAAAGTATTAACGCCCATTTATTTTATGTGCAGAATCTAATCCAGTGGTTCTCAACCTGGGGTCCCCAGATGTTTTTGGCCTACCACTCCCAGAAATCCCAGCCAGTTTACCAGCTGTTAGGATTTCTGGGCATTGAAGGCCAAAAACTTCTCGGGACCCCAGGTTGAGAACCACTGATCTAATTCCTCTGGCATATAATTTTAGCTTTCTTATTTTTGTCATTCTTTTTCTTGTTTGCTTCTATTTGGTCATGAATTGAAGCTGTCATGCTGATATTAAATCTCTGTTTCTATTTAGCTCCCTTTTTCTCTTGAATGTAGGGATCTAAGTATTGAGTTGTATCAGATTCAAGAACTAATCTACACACATGCATCACTTTAGTCACAACTGAGGGTTTGTTCTCTTGTTCAGGGCAATGCTGGCTTCCCTGGAGCTGCTGGTCAAAAAGGTGACATGGGGCCTCCTGGAATTCCAGGACCTCAAGGTATGAGAGAGAATATGAGAAGCAAACATTGTTATCTGCTTTTGCATTATAGCAAAGAAATAAATAGCCTTTCAGTCTAATTGCACTATATTTGTTGCAGCTTTTTAGTAAATGAATAGTAATTCGATGCCTATAAAATGAACACAGCAATAGTAGTGGCTGCAAAATATATGGCCCATATCAATTTTCTTCATTGCATGAGTGGGGAAATAATAGCTTTATCTCCCTCTCATTCCAAATTGACAGAGTACAACTAGAAGTTAAGAGGAATACATATTTCTTCTGCTTAGCCTGTGTTTTGTTCTAGAAACGTTATTTGCTTATCCAAATTTGCAGACTTCAAAGCAAAGAATGGTGAACATATAAGTGAAGAAAATCGCATCCTATGACAAACGTGTGAAACATATTGTTTGGCCATGAAAACAGTTAGATAAAGCAACTATCATGAGTGTTTTGAAATAATGTAATGGGGAATATTAATTAGGAAAAAGAAAAAATGGGAAGAGGGATTAGAAGGCACCCAAGAACTTGATATGGGTAGTAATTCAGGTAAAAGAAAACATCATATGGTGAAAGCTTGAAGGTTGTCTTTCTCTCTAGGTCCAAGAGGTCCTCCAGGAATCCTTGGAATCAAAGGAGAACAAGGTGATCAAGGATATCCTGGAGCAAAAGGTAAGTGATGACATCATTTTGACAGATTTGGTTATTTTGAAAGGAATTGTGGTGGTGTCAACGAGAAGAAAGACTAACACAGTGCTTCTCAACCATCCTAATGCCGCAACCCCTCAATGCAGTTCCTCATGTTGTGGTGACCCCCCAACCATAACATTATTTTCGTTGCTACTTCATAGCTGCAATTTTGCTACTTGTTACGAATTGTCATGTAAATATCTGATATGCAAGATGTATTTTCATTCACTGGAGCACATTTGGCTCAAATACCCAATACGACCAAATGTGAACACTGGTGGAGTTTGGGGAAAACAGACCTTGATATTTGGAAGTTATAGTTGCTGGGATTTATAGTTCACCTACTAGCAAAGAACATTCTGAACTCCACCAATGATGGAATTGAACAAAACTTGGCACACAGAACTCCCATGACCAACAGAAAATGCTGGAAGGATTTGGTGAGCATTGTCCGTGAGTTTTGGAGTTGTAGTTCACCTGCATCCAGAGCGCACTGTGGACTCAAACAATGATGGACCAAACTTGGCACAAATACTCAATATGCCCAAATGGGAACACTGGTGGAATTTGGGAAAATAGACCTTGACATTTGGGAGTTGTAGTTGTTGGTATTTATAGTTCACTCTGAAACCCACCAATGGTAGATTTAGGCCAAACTTCACACACAGAACCCCCATGCCTTGAAGGGACTCACTGATGCAAACCTCCAGCCTTCCACGCTCTCCCTGACCCCTCACATGTGCATCATTTTGCCCTGTGCTGAGCACACCTGCTCTTCCCTCCCCACTTGTTTCTCAGAAACAGCTCTCCCCTTGGCTGAGAGGCTAGCCAATCAGAGCAGAGGAGGGCTTTTGGTGGGAGGATTCACCCTCTGTTTCCAAAAAAGGAAGAGAAGGACAGGCAGAGAGATCTTCAGCCTTCTCTGTCAAAGGGGTTCCTAAGACCATCAAAGGGGTTCCTAAGATCATCAGAAATATATCTTTGGCGAACCCTCTGAAACCCCCTTGCGACCCCCTCCCCCAGGGATCTTGACCCCCAGGTTGAGAAACACCGGACTAACAGAATCTTCATTTTACTATCACCTGTTCATATATCCCTTTAATGCTGATAAAGTGGTTTTTTTAAACTACAATCAATACAAATTGTCTGATTTTATTTTACTTGTTGACAGGTTTCCCAGGTCCCCCAGGTCCTCCAGGTGCTTTCACACTTTTGAAAGGTGAACCAGGCTTACCTGGTCTTATAGGCCAACCTGGCATCAAAGGAGCACCTGGTCCCCCAGGACCCAAAGGACAACAAGGTGAGAAAATGTCTGACAGCCATCGTAGACCTTATTTCGGAAACTCCAGTCAAATCCAGAAATTACTAAGAAATTTACTGCAGTTTGCTGTTAAAAACATTAATATTCAACTTAAATGTGGTAAAGCTCCAGGGCCAGACTTAATAATGTCCTTACTCTTATAAACTTGGTGAGCTCCATTATTAGCATCTCTGTTTACTCATATAAATTGCTATCAGCTGGTCCCAGGTAATCATAATCCCCAAGGAGACAGGAATGATCCATTTAATTATCAGCCAATAAGTTTGCTTTTTGTTATGGGTGAATTGTACACCCAATTCCCTGACAACTGACTTATTGACTGGATAGAGATTGGAAGTATTATTGGAGATGAATAACACAGAAGTAGCTACTCTGGAAAGGCATTGGTGATCACAGCCACCCGTCATAATTCTGTCTCTTGCCGCATCATAAAAGGGTGGTGGGACAAACTGAAGACAGTACTATAATTTCAGTTCAACAAGGAGATACTTTCACCATTGCAGTTCAGTTCAGCAGAGTGAAATCATGGTAGAAAGTCTTGGAGTGGGATTTCATTTTGAGTGGACAAAAATGGGATTACCCTGTTATTTAGAATCCTATGAACTCCCAGTGGTATATCTGAGGATAACAGCAGCACAGTTAGCCATTTCTTCTTTGGCAACAGCAACATGATTGGCACCACCAGATATGGAGCAGCATGCTGACTGTACCCCTGCATTAGTCATACTCAGATTGGATTGTTCCATGTATGACAATGTGAAAACATCTGCATGATCATAGGTGCACATGATACCAACAACCCTCCAGGATCAAAGACCTTACAGTATTGTTTATTTAATGAGTCCTGGTGTAGGCAACAAGAGCCACAAATTCTTGCATATGCAGGTTCAGGTTGCCTTATGCTATTCACATGTGTACACACCACTAATGATGGTAGATGTTATGTATGATAGCACAGCACAAAAAAACAAAGATGATGCAAAATACCCCCACCCCACAAAAAGACATGGAAAATGTCCTTTACCAGTAGTGAACACAGTTGTATAATAGTATACCATTTTGACTTGAGATACCTCAACAAAATTTAAACTGACATATTTTCCTGATATAATGGTTCACCAAATTCATACCAGTGTAAGATTAGCATCTCGAATGAACTGAGGAAGAATTCATAAATCATGCATCTGATAAATTGTAAACACAAATTTGTCTAAATCAATGGATGTTGTATTACAAACAGGAAGGAATAAATGTTAATGAAATTTCATTTTAACAGGCGTAACAGGAGCCCCGGGTTTAATTGGTTCCCCGGGTCATCCAGGATTCGATGGAACACCTGGTCAGAAAGGAGAACTTGGCCCTGTTGGCCCACCAGGCAAGTCTGTTCTTCTAGTGCTTTACTTTGTCTGAGCCTTCCATTTTCATTAGAACTTCCTTTTTGGAATTATTCAAGTTTAGTGAATTTAGGGAAACCTGTTTTTCTTGAATTGCTGATTTCACTAAACTTTTCTGTGCCTCTATTTTTACCTTGGTAGGGAGAATGTCTAGACCAGGCATGGGCAAACTTTGGCCCTCTTGAAATCAACTCCCAGAAATTGCAGCCAATTTGCCAGCTGTTAGGAATTGTGGGAGTGTAAATTCAAAACACCTGGAGGGCCGAAGTTTACCAATGACTGGTTTAGAGCATTGTGGAGGAGAACTATTTTGTCACGGAAGGACATTTAAATGCCACATAGTTTGTTCAAGGATAAGTCGTCTGACATCTTTTTTTTCTCCTTGTAAAAAAATAACCTTCAAGCCCCACTCCACATTCCACTATCTGCAAATAAAGTAGTGAAAAGGGAAGTGATTTATATTGCTGTGACTGTACAGTTCCAAACCGAGACTTCCAAGTCTCCCAAGGATTGCTTTTTCCTTCATGATTTCAAGAGCTGTGAAAGGAAAATCCCAAGCACAACATATGCAATTTTTCCTGCTGCCGTTTCCAAGTAGTAGGTGGCACGAAGTACCAAGCTCAGGAGAAAGTGGAAATGTCTATCCATGAATATATATATCTCATAAAATGCATTCATCTTCCATATATTTGTCATATTGCCATGGAGAATTATGACAAAAATATGTCTGTGGGTAACAGCTAGGACTTTCTCAAGTTTATAGATAAGTTTATAAATATAAGTTTATCATTTTAGTATTTACAGTTCATGTTATGTTTACTAGAACATCCCCACCATTATTGTTGGGAAGGTTACCTTTTCCCAAACAGATCTGGGAAATATTTATGTATTTTTATTGTATTTATTTATTGAATTTATATTCCACTTTTCAACCAAATGGGATTCAAGGTGGCTTGGGAAATAGGTGGTTCCTTTCCCATCCACCCTGTGATGCAATTAATGCTCTGAAAACTACTTAAATGTTCCAGGAAGAGGTATCACCTTGACATGGAAAATGTAGACTATGAGGCTCACAAAATATCAGTTCACAATTTTTAAAAGCACTTCATTTTTCTTTATAGTAATAGAGAAAAGTTAGTGTGCACTTCCAGTCCATCTTAATTCTTGGTGGTCAGTCCTCTGTCAGATAAATGGTAAAATATAAAGATACTGAAGTAGGTTGCCGTCATAAATATAGGTACAGATTTGTTTTCCTCGTATCACTGTCTTATACATAAGATTTCTGTCTTACAGGCCCAAGAGGCCTCCCTGGTCCACCTGGCCCTGAAGGTTTGCCGGGATCGATGGGTCCACCAGGCAGTCCCTCTGTAGCTCATGGCTTCCTTGTGACTCGGCACAGCCAAACCATAGAAGAACCATCATGTCCATCTGGGACGCGACTCATGTTCCATGGATATTCTTTGCTTTATATACAAGGAAATGAGCGGGCCCATGGCCAGGACTTGGGTAAGTGATCGAACGCAGCAAATCCAATTGACTAAGCATGTTATTCAATGCAATGGCTTACTATAAGTGCAGATACCTTTACTGTAATCAATTGCTCTGAGTTAAGTAAAAATTGTGTCAAATAACTAATTTCTATTGAGTTTTATGAACTGTTCCAGCAACTAGGAGGGAATGAGCAGATACATCTCCAATTACCATTACTATCGCTTCCAGGTCCAAAAGATAATATGAGCAAATGGATCCTGGTGAATGTGGAAACCTAGACTCAATCAAAACATGAAATTTGTAATAAATATAAGCCAGAGCTTTCCAAACCTTTCATGTCAGTGACACACTTTTTAGGCATGCATCATTTTGTGTCACAGTCATTCCGTTTTATTAGCAAGCCAGAGGTTAATCCAACTCCTTAGAAGAGACACACATACTTAAATTGTAATAACAAAATGCACAGAGACACAATAAACCTGAAGATACTCAAGTTAATCAAGGTAGATAAAATGAATTAGATTAATTAGCAAGGATTAAAATAGCTGCCTAAAATAGATGACTTTAAATTAAAATATATGTAAGATTACTTAATAACCAAATTAAAAGTCAAAATAATTATTTTGCAGCTCAGTTCATGATCCCTGAATAGTGGGGAAGGATGCTCCTTAGATCCTTTAGAACCCAGAATCAATCAACTAACCATTTGAAGGCACAAATGAGCCTTTTCTTGTCACATTCCCTCATTTCCCAAGGCTTTTTTGTCATCCATGGGGAAATATGAGAGCTGCACAGCAAGCAATGTGTCTCCCACATCTTGTTTTGCTAAAAACAAGGCCAGAAATTTTTTGGGCAAAGGTAAACTTGATCCCTAAACCTTCATTTTTTACCCAAACATGCCTTAAAAGAAAGGGGAGGTATGGTGGATATCTTCCACTTTGGTGCCACCTGCTTCCACTGTCCTCCGTTTATGTACTTCTTGAAGGGACAAGTGGAAAGGAAGACTCGCCAGCTCATTCAGTTTTAAGCACATGTTCCCTGAGGATCCAAAAGCTATGGGGTAACTCTCAGATTTATATCAATAGAAAGAAGTAAAGCAACCTTTAATTTTTGCTCTTTCAGGCACAGCAGGAAGCTGTCTACGTAAATTCAGCACAATGCCTTTCCTGTTTTGTAATATTAACAACGTTTGCAATTTTGCCTCAAGAAATGATTATTCTTACTGGTTGTCTACGCCTGAGCCAATGCCAATGAGCATGGCTCCCATCACAGGAGAAAGCATCAAACCTTTCATCAGCAGGTAAGCACGAAAGCTATTAAGAAATACAAACTTCGTGAATCCGTATATGAAATGACCTATGGTGACCTTGAGGTGAATCTGTTACAAAGTTTATTTTGCAGGGTTTGTTGAGAAAGGGCTTGCCATTGCCTTCCTCTGTGGCTGAGAGAGTATGACTTACCCAAGGTTGCTCAGTGGCTTTCATAGCCTAGTGGGGATTCAAATATTCAAAGTGGATTTCCACTTAAACATTAGGAAGAACTTCCTGACCATAAGAGCTGTTCAACAGTGGAACTCTCTGCCTTGGAGCCTTCCTTGGAGGCTTTTAAACAGAGGCTGGATGGCTATTTGTCAGGGGTGTTTTGTGCTTTTCCTGCAAGGCAGGGGGCTGGACTGGATGGCCCGTGTGGTTTCTTCCAACTCTGTGATTCTATTATTCTTTAATACATATGGTATTTGGACAGTTGTATAACAATATATCACAGTAGTTATACATAGGATATTGGTATTTCAGGATTTTTTAAACTCTCAACTTTGCAACCGTTATATCATCCCATCTCAGGTGTGCTGTATGTGAGGCTCCTGCTATGGTGATGGCAGTTCACAGCCAAACCATTCAAATTCCACCATGTCCAGATGGCTGGAGATCACTCTGGATAGGCTATTCCTTTGTGATGGTAAGTGCATCAAGTGATACAGTCAGCCCTCCACGTTTGCTGGGGTTAGGGGGAAGAGGACCCTTACAATAGTGAAAAAGAGACATAAAAACATTGTTTTTTACTTCAGACAACTTCTCTCTAGGAATCTCTACAACCCTCTAGCACAATTTGGTGGTCAACTTGACTGACTGTATTTAAATTAACACAGTTCTTTTTAAGTTAAGCTCACCTTTGATTTAAAAGCACCCACCTGTTTCTTTGTTCTAAGAACAAATACTTTTAACAGCCCAAATATTTTTAAAGAGTTCTTTTACTGTGGCATCGCATGTAACCATTGCTATCCTCTAGTGAAGCAACTGAATACGATCCAGTAACTTTCACTGTGTTTGCTGTTTAGGGCAGGATGTGTGGTTAAGTCGTTCACTAGGATTGTTATTAAAGTAATTGCAGAGAGAGTGAGTTCTTTCCTGTGCTCTTTCCAGCCATTCCCAGGCTTTTAAAAAACAGCAGCAATTAAAGAGCATGGGAATATAGAAGCATAGTAAATAAACTCACCATAACAATGTATTGTGCACAGGGAAAAAAAACTTCACAAAGCACAGTGTGACCAGTAAAAACTGTTTATATAGTGCAAAGTAAAACTCTCTAGCAAAAGCATTCAGGTATACAGAAAACATATACTGTTGTCAAACCCATAGCCGGGGAGGGGGGGTCTTGAGGGGCTTCAACCCCCCCCCCCCCGAATCCCCGGGCCTGACTGCTGTGCTAATGCCCTCCATATTTGCATTGGTTTTGTTGTTGTATCTTCTGAAGAATAACATCACTGAATTGTTAGGCACTACACTTGCTGCTTACTGATATGTAATACAAGAATATGAAGCTATAGAAACTTTCCTGAATACGCTAATGCATAACCTTTACTTCCTGGCAGCATACCAGCGCTGGTGCTGAAGGTTCGGGGCAAGCCCTGGCCTCCCCTGGTTCCTGCCTTGAAGAGTTCCGTAGCGCTCCCTTCATTGAATGCCACGGCAAAGGCACCTGCAATTATTACGCCAATGCTTACAGCTTCTGGCTGGCCACTATTGAGAGAAATGAAATGTTCAAGTAAGTTGGAAGCATTTTGCTTATAATATTTTAAATTTCAAAATACAGGCAGTTGCCAAGTTACGAGCAAGTTAAGTTCTGTAGATTTGTTCTTAAGTTGAATTTGGATGTAAGTCAGAACAGGGACATTAGCCATATATGTGTGTGTATGTGTGTGTGTTTAAGCTTTGGATAGCATAGAGAAGAGCTAACACCCCTGTGTGGTTTGTTTTGCTGTCTGTGCTCCTGTTCAAAAGATTTCACCTCATTTTTTGTCCCTGTGATAATTGGATTTTGGAAAATGTGGCTTGTTGTAGAAACAAATGATTGGTGAGAAATCTTCACCTTTTCCCCATGATAACTCTTCTGCATTTTGTAGCATTTTATATTTGACTCTTCTTTTCCCCCTTGCCATTTAAACTTACATAAGTCCTTCTTCCATTGCTTAAATTGTACATCAAAACTAATATTGTATGGATTAAAAACTCAACATTCATTTTTATCATAGATTTTTCTCCAAGAATGACAAATTTAATTTCTCCCATCTTAGGCATACAGTACATATATGTTATAATTATTTAACCTTCTTCCCAGTCTTACAACCAGTTTTGTCCACTAATTCTCTTTGGTCTTCCATTTTTATATTTTTGATGATTAATCTTAAAACATATTTATTTATTTATTTATTTATTTATTTATTGCACTTTTATACTGCTTTTCTGATCCCTGGGGGAACTCAAAGCGGTGCACATCAGATAAATGGCAAAAAAATCTATGCCTCACATACAATAAAACAGTACATCACATGTTTAAAACAATGAAATATAACTAAAAATTAAAACCATTAAAACTATAAAACATCAGACATAGACCTAGAACATATTAAACATTTAAGCATTAGGCATGGGCAATCCATGGTTCTGAATGATTCTAAAGTACTTGCAAAACTAGGGCGCGCTGGTGCTTTGCTCCTAAGTGTTGCTTAAGTTCTGTTGGTGAAAATTTCAGAACTCTAACAAAACTTTCAAAAATTTAATTATAAATGGCAGTTTCTAATTGGTTCTGTCAAAAAAAATGCCAATAATGAAATAATAATGAAATTTTGAAAGTTCTGTTAGAGTTCTGAAATTTTCACCAACAGAACTTAAGCAACACTTTAGAAGCAAAATCTGTTAAACATTGTACTGATCCCAAGGTTGTTGCCTATCTGCTTTGATGTTATTACCACTCACCGAATGCTTGTTTACACAACCAAGTTTTAAGTCGTTTTCTAAACACTAGGAGGGAGGGGGCCGATCTAATCTCTCTGAGGAGGGAGTTTCATAGGCGAGGAGCCACCACCAAGAAGGCCCTGTCTCTCGTCCCCACCAATCGCACCTGTGACGCTGGTGAGACTAAGAGCAGGGCCTTCCCAGCTGATCTTGTGCTCTAATTGTCTCATAAAGGGAGATATGTTCAGATAGGAAAGCTAGACTGGAACTGTTTAGGGATTTCTAGACTAAAGCCAGCACTTTGAATTGTGCTCAGTAGCAGACTGGCAGCCAGTGGAGCTGGCACAACAGGGATGCTCCCTGTACCCCACTCCAGCAAAAAACCTGGCTGCCACTCATTGGGCTACTTGAAGCTTCTGAGCAGTCTTCAAAAGCAACCCCACGTAGAGTGTGTTGCAGTAGTCTATTTGAGATATAACGAGAGTGTGGACCACTGTGGCCAAGTCTGACATCCCAGGGTACGGGCGCAACTGGCACACAAGTTTTAATTGTGTGAATGCTGCCCTGGCCACTGCCGAAATCTGGGGTTCCAGGCTCAGTGATGAGTCCAAGAAAACTCCCAAGTTGTGAACTTGTGTCTTCAGGGGGAGTGTAACCCTGTCCAGCACAGGGTGTAACCTAGATGGGGTTACACTCTGCATTCTACATACTAACTCACTCTACACTCTACGCACTAACACACCATTTTTTTCAATTTTCCCAATGACACTTCACTACCGTCACCACACCAGCAAATGCTCTTAACTTGTACACTTTTAAACCTTATATGCAAAATTATCTCATTTTGTCTTACATCTTTATTCAGAACTGCCAGAACAAACAAAGACACACTGAACACTCTTATTTTGTTCTTTTGGATCCCACAAAATTTGGCAGCATTTTATACCTGTTCAATAACAAAAAAAGTAAATTTTGAGTACATTTTTTCATGTTAGGTAGTTAACAACAATTTTTACTTAAAGCAATACATTCAACTTCTAAACATTTTTTTAAAAATTCTTTGACATTTTTTGTGCTTCTACCTCTGTTTAATACAAACAGCAACAGTACACTAGACAGGGCTGCTGCTCACATACAAATTTTCCGTATGCTTTACTTGAGAAGTAAAATTCCAAGAAGAGTGGATTAGTCATTTTGAGTTACCAACAGAAATGTAGTTCTAGCCTTGCAGCATTTCATTAGTCCTTGCCTTCTCAGCTCTCCACTCAATGTTTCAAGGCCAGTCCATATGCAACTGGAATCAAATGATTACTACCTCAGTAACATCCATTAATCCTGAAGTAATACTTAATTTTTTCCACTAATAGCAATAAGATGACAAAAATGGACTCTGTATAATCCTTCGAAGTAACCAGTACATTTATACTGTTTATACTGCTTATATTCCTGTTTTATTATATTGTTGTTAAATTGTATATTCATGTTTGGATGTGGGCGCCACGGGTGCCCAATTTGTTAGCCGTCCTGAGTCCCTCTGCGGAGGTTGAGATAGGACGGGATATAAAAACCCTAAATAAATAATAAATAATGCGGGAAGCAACCTCAAACAATGGCAATATCTAAAGTTTAAGAATTGGTTTTCCACCAATTCAAGGAATTCAGGCCAATCAAGCACTGGCTTTTAAAATCTGCTAAACTCTTCATGAGCCAAAACCCTTGAGTTTCCAAGGTTGATATTTATTATTTATTTACTGTATTTGTATACTGCCTTTCTCAGGCTATCGGCGACTCAAGGCGGTTTCCAACAAAACAGTATACATCGTATCATAATAAAATGTAAAATATTAAAATTACATAAATCACAACAACAATAAAAACAACATCATAAGCATCTCCTTATTGTCAAGCATTGTCCAGTTCCATTATCAGTCATCAGTTCCTATATCAGTTATCTATATCCGTTACTCTGTGTTTGTGAACGCTTGCTCAAACAGCCACGTTTTGAGTTGCTTCCGAAATGTTAAGAAGGAGAGAGCCAATCTAATCTCTCTGGGGAGGGCGTTCCATAGCCGGGGGGCCACCGCTGAGAAGGCCCTGTCTCTCGTACCCGCCAAATGTACCTGTGACAAAGGCGGATCGTCCGAGAGCAGAGCCTCTCCGGACGATCTCAAGGTCCTAGGTGGTTCATAAGGGGAGATACGTTCGGACAGGTAAGTTGGGCCAGAACTGTTTAGGGCTTTATAGGCTAGAACCAGCACTTTGAATTGTGCCCGGTAGCAAACTGGCAGCCAGTGGAGCTGGCGCAGCAAGGGGGTTGTATGCTCCCTGAGAGCCGCTCCAGTTAGCAATCTGGCTGCTGTCCGTTGGACCAGTTGAAGCTTCCGGACAGTTTTCAAAAGCAAACTCACATAGACAGCGTTGCAGTAGTCTATACGGGATGTATATACACTTCAAAATGTGTACGTTCATTAATAGCTATTCTTATTTTGTATTTGCATTTTCAGAAAACCGATTCCTTCCACGCTGAAAGCAGGGGAACTGCACTCCAATGTTAGCCGTTGCCAAGTCTGTATAAGAAGAACATAATGACTTTCCAGGTGTACTTAATGTCACAATATGGTGCTATTCTGTTAACAACAGTGACACTTAGGCATGTATCATATGATGTACCTCATTCTTGCCAGGTATGAAAACAGTCGTGCCTTACCGGAACTTACCTTACTAAGCTCTATGCTTCCCTGACCTTTTACTTGCTGAAGAGGAGGAAGATGCAATGAAGATAAATAAGCTTTTAACAGCATTTTCAGATAAACATATTTTGTATATGTGCTGCACTGATACTTACCCTAAATCAAGAAGAAAAATAAACCAAGGTGCTAAGAGCCATAGAGCTCTGCCTCGTATGGGCAACTCCCCTTTTCTATGTGTAAGTATTATATATATAGGAATACGTTATCAAATTTTTATAATCCCTTCATATCTTGAATCCCAGGCTCTTCCTACTTAATATTGTTGTACAAATTTATACTAATATAAAAAAAAGAGTTCTGGAAATGGGTATGACTGAACAGCAGGATTTCGTATTGGAAACAGAAGAGGTACTGACATGCAAACTTTCCTCTCATTTTAACCGTGTGTCTTCTGGCAAAAGAAAACAGAATTCTTCCTAGTGAAATGTGTCCCCCTCTTAGCTTTCTATGGCCAGTTTTCCTATGGAACATAGAATACTCCAATATGTGGGCAAGCATACATGTATTTAGTATTTATGCAACAACTTGGTAATTGGAGCCTTGCCCCCACTCCATAACCATTCTCGCCTTAAATGAAGTGTGAACACCTACTTCTCCTAGTAAATGTCTATAAAATATATATGTTAAATCTACCATTTCATGTATTTAATATTTTCAGGGTTTTAAGCACTAATAATACACTGAATGACTTGACTTTGAACAAATAAGAAGCTTTAAGATATTATGGATAGTTCAGACTTTGGAAAATGTTTAAGACAGATATTCCCAGACAATAATCATGCCAATATAAAATATTTTTTTAAAGGCCATTCCTTGATGATGTACTTCTTAGAAACTAAGATTTGTAATAAAACTATTTGTGTAAAATATTGCTTTTAACAATAGTCATTACTTTTTAAAATGTCCTTGTATAAAATTCAGTTGTATTTTACATGTGTAGTCTTGTTCTTGTTCTTAAGAACAGATACCGCAATTTACCTGCAACTAGTGAGCCTGCATTCAAAAGCATTGGCAACATGAGTAATGTTTTAAAATGTTTAGAAGTGGTGATTACAAGCACATCAATCACAAACTTCAAAAGGCACGATTACTTTTGGGCTGGGGTGGGACAAAACATTTTTGTAAACATTGATATATCTTCATGAATATTTGCTTCTACGTTTACCACACTGTTTGAATCTACTGGACATTATTTATTATTTATTTTATTTATTTATTTACGGCGCTTATATGCCGCCCTTCTCACCCCGAAGGGGACTCAGAGCGGCTTACAATATATATTTTCATACAATATATTATATTATTAGCAAAGTACAATATCAGTATATATTACTATATTGCACTATACAATGGTATAGTGCAATATAGTAGTATATACTGATATTACTATATTGCACTATACCATTATATTGTAATATTATTAGTAATATTACATGTAATTAAATATATATTTATAATTATAATATTGAATTATTATTACTAGTATTATATTATATTACATTATAATATTATAAATATTATACGTATATACAATATACTATATTATATTATTAGTAAAGACAAGATGGCAGTGTCTTCTGCTCCCCTCTGTCTTCTCTGGCCAGAGCAGTCGTTGGTGCCAGAAGGGGGAGGGGCCTCTGAAGTGATGATATAGGCAGAAGACAAGATGGCAGTGTCTTCTGCTCCCTTCTGTCTTCCCTCTGGCCAGAGCAGTCGTTGGTGCCAGAAGGGGGAGGGGCCTCTGAAGTGATGATATAGGCAGAAGACAAGATGGCAGTGTCTTCTGCTCCCTTCTGTCTTCTCTCTGGCCAGAGCAGTCGTTGGTGCCAGAAGGGGGAGGGGCCTCTGAAGTGATGATATAGGCAGAAGACAAGATGGCAGTGTCTTCTGCTCCCTCTGTCTTCTCTCTGGCCAGAGCAGTCGTTGGTGCCAGAAGGGGGAGGGGCCTCTGAAGTGATGATATAGGCAGAAGACAAGATGGCAGTGTCTTCTGCTCCCTTCTGTCTTCTCTCTGGCCAGAGCAGTCGTTGGTGCCAGAAGGGGGAGGGGCCTCTGAAGTGATGATATAGGCAGAAGACAAGATGGCAGTGTCTTCTGCTCCCTTCTGTCTTCTCTCTGGCCAGAGCAGTCGTTGGTGCCAGAAGGGGGAGGGGCCTCTGAAGTGATGATATAGGCAGAAGACAAGATGGCAGTGTCTTCTGCTCCCCTCTGTCTTCTCTCTGGCCAGAGCAGTCGTTGGTGCCAGAAGGGGGAGGGGCCTCTGAAGTGATGATATAGGCAGAAGACAAGATGGCAGTGTCTTCTGCTCCCTTCTGTCTTCTCTCTGGCCAGAGCAGTCGTTGGTGCCAGAAGGGGGAGGGGCCTCTGAAGTGATGATATAGGCAGAAGACAAGATGGCAGTGTCTTCTGCTCCCCTCTGTCTTCTCTCTGGCCAGAGCAGCCGTTGGTGCCAGAAGGGGGAGGGGCCTCTGAAGTGATGATATAGGCAGAAGACAAGATGGCAGTGTCTTCTGCTCCCCTCTGTCTTCTCTCTGGCCAGAGCAGTCGTTGGTGCCAGAAGGGGGAGGGGCCTCTGAAGTGATGATATAGGCAGAAGACAAGATGGCAGTGTCTTCTGCTCCCCTCTGTCTTCCCTCTGGCCAGAGCAGTCGTTGGTGCCAGAAGGGGGAGGGGCCTCTGAAGTGATGATATAGGCAGAAGACAAGATGGCAGTGTCTTCTGCTCCCTCTGTCTTCCCTCTGGCCAGAGCAGTCGTTGGTGCCAGAAGGGGGAGGGGCCTCTGAAGTGATGATATAGGCAGAAGACAAGATGGCAGTGTCTTCTGCTCCCTTCTGTCTTCTCTCTGGCCAGAGCAGTCGTTGGTGCCAGAAGGGGGAGGGGCCTCTGAAGTGATGATATAGGCAGAAGACAAGATGGCAGTGTCTTCTGCTCCCCTCTGTCTTCCTCTGGCCAGAGCAGTCGTTGGTGCCAGAAGGGGGAGGGGCCTCTGAAGTGATGATATAGGCAGAAGACAAGATGGCAGTGTCTTCTGCTCCCTTCTGTCTTCCCTCTGGCCAGAGCAGTCGTTGGTGCCAGAAGGGGGAGGGGCCTCTGACTTTAACCCTGAATACAGATCAAATACAGAACCTTAGGAACACAAGTCTTTTAGAATTTCTGTATTGAGCTATGAGAAATAAGGATCCTATATAATAATTTTCCTCCTTCTACAAATGGTATTTCACAGTGGGAAAATACTGGTAGATGTGATGAAAATCCAGAGCTATGAGAGAGCATGGAGGGAGCAATTCATGTGTTTCTGGTGCAGGGCTGCTCCCATGGACTAGGACAGTGGTGGAAAACCTATGGCACATGCCAGAAGGAGCATGCAGCACCCACTCTCCTGGTACATGTGTCATCGCCCACACCCGCTCACCATCCTGCACCCACTCACTTTCCTGCCCCTTCACTCACCCACTCACCCGCTCCCTGCTCACCCATTTCCCTGCCCCCATTTACTTGTCTGCCTCCCCGCACACACACACTCACCATTTCCATCTCTAAAAGGTTCACCATTACTGTCCTAGGCCATGAGGGATGCAAACTAAATGGAAATGGAAAGCAAAGAGACAATAAACTTTTGCCTTAATATTGTTTACCCATATTAAGAGCTAGCCTAGGAAAATAATTTGAGGATAAGTTTCTTTCAAAAGGAGGGTTAGTTGTTATGTGCCTTCAAGTTGTTGCTGACTTGTTACAATTTTAAGACAAAGCTATTACAGGATTATTTTCATAAGATTTGTTCAGGTGGGATACACTTTATTTGTTCTGAGACTGAAAGAGAGAGTGATTTGTCCAAGATCACCCAATGGGTTTCCATGGTCAAGCAGGAATCCAAACCCTGGATCTGAGAGTCCTAGTCCAACAATCAAACAATTACACCAAAAGTAGGACAGCTCCTTAGCTCAGTAAGGGCCTTATCGCATTAGAGCTTAAACAGTATGTATCCCATCTGAAATCCTGTGGCTAGCTGCCTCCTGCTATATTCTGAGACTTGTAGTTTAGGGGTTTCAGCCAGAAAGGTCCTGGGTCTCAATATCCCTGTATCCACTAGACTGGCCCCTCTAAAAGAAGAACAAGAGGGAACTTAAGAATACAGAAAATGGACATTTTTACTCATATAATTAAAGTGGTTTACTCAGGAAATGAACATTTAAAAGGAAACAGAATTAATAGTGAGGAAGCAAAAGAAATTAAATGATACAATATACATTGACTAAATAATAACATCAGAAGCAGAAGAAGCAGAAGAAATTGAAATATTCTGTGCTAGAGTCTAGGAGGAAATTGATCACACATCGAAACAGGACATCTTGTTAATCATAGGTGATACAAATGTAAAAACAACAAACAGAATAGAATAAAAGATTATATAAAATTTGGGCTAAGATCAAAAAGTGAAGCAGGAGAACAGATGATTAAATTTTGCAAAGCCAACAGTTTGTTCATTGCAAACACATTTTGCAAGCAACCCAAGATACAACTGTATACATAGATATCAAATAAATGACATAATTGGGAGCGGAAAATGAAAAGGCTCTATTTTCATGATAAAATAAAGAACAGGAGCAGACGGTGGCACAGGCGATTACCTACAAATGTCACAGACTAGTGTAAAACTAAAGAACAACCACTATTGTGCCAAATATAACCTTAATAATATTTCCGTAAAATTTAAAGATCAAGTAAAAAACTACATCTGCAACTGTTCACCAACTTGTGTGTATGGACAAAGAGAACTACTATAATAATCAATGAAGAAAAACAGAGAGACCAGTGACTTCTTCATAAATATCAAGGAAATCAAAGGGAAGTTGAAACCAATAGCAGGGATGCTCCACAACTAGAAGGAAATCACATTCCACGATCAAGGACAAATAAGCTGATGGAAACACAGTCAGCCTCACAAAAATGGGGAAAAACATAATATTCTAACCTCTCCAAATGTTCATACTACAGTTTCTGCTGCTGCAAAACATCTCCTTCATTGCCAATGGGAAGGAAGAAAAGAATGACAACACTGAAGAAGATTTTTCCAGCAGCTGCAGCCTTTCTCTTCTCCTGTTGCTAGTGAGAGTGAACATGTGGGATGGCAGTGGTGGGAGAAGGGCAAGGTTAAGGAGCAGTGGCAACTTTAGGAGGTCTGGGCTCAATAATTTTAGAAACATCAAACAGGCTGTGCTCTGGACTGCACTCACAGTCTTTATTCAGCCCGGTACCACCAAGGTCAGTAATTCCCCCTACTCCTGAGGGAGGACACACACATGGTCCCCCTTCTTCAATTCCCTTCTCTATTGCTGCCCAGGTGAGCAAGAGAATCCACACATCCTCTTCCATCCCATCCCACTTCCCTCTGCTGCCTGAGTGAGCAAGCTAGGGAATGCACATGTCCTCCCTTTTTCCATCTCATCCCTAACTCTCTTCTGCACATGAGCAAGGGAACATTCCCACACCCTCCTTCCTCCCATCACATCCCCTTCTACTGAGTGAGCAAAAGAGCCTGACAACAGCTGGTCCCAGTCACTCTGCCAATCTGATTTCCTCCAAGTGTCACTGGTGTTCTTGAAGTCTCTATTTTAAAAGGTGGCCGTGTCCATCTAGAAGTGCATGTGAATTCCAGACCACATCTAAAGTAGGCACAGGGTTTTTTTTTCTATCCAAGGTATGATCTAGTACCATGTTCATATTTCCTCCTAATATGACCTTACCTTGTTTAAAGATCAAAAGTTTTACCAGAACATTTACCACATAGTGAAACTCTTACTGTTTGTGAATATAATAAAAAAACAGACTGGAATACTTTGCCCTGTGGCTATGTTTTCAATAAAAGATATATCCCAATTTGGATAATTCACAATATTATCAACCTTGAGCAAAATTAGATGGAACTATGCT